ATGTTATTTCCTTCAGTCAGAAGCCAGAGGACCACAATAGCTCCCTTCCAAGTTACCAAGCTTAATTCAAGAATTGTAGGTCAAATCACTGACCTCATGAAATTCCCTACGCACAAAGCTTAGTCTCTCAATTATAGTAAAAAATGACCTCCTTTTGTGTACCCTTCTAACTCACTGCTCCCATTTCAGTTCCATTTAGACTTTTTTATTGTCCTCATTGGCACCAACATGTATGTATTCTGGATGTTGTTTATTATAAATGGCTACAAAATCCTTCCAATGCATACCTAATGTCTTAAGTGTAGTACAAGGTGATATAACCCTGTGTAGAATCCCCATTCCTCATGAAATCTGTGTATTTATTCATTCAAAAAATTTCTGTTGAGTGTCTACCATGTACCAAGCAATATTCATGAAGTAGGGGGTTTGGACATAGAAAAACAAACAGACCAAAAAAAATTATCCTTCTTCATGGATCTTACATTATAGAAAGAGACAAACACAGAAAAGATCATTGTAAAGATATCTATTGTGTTCAACAGAGCTAAGTACTAAGAGAAGGAAAATAGACTAAAGAAGGGGATACGAATTAAAGGTACATAGAAACATAAGAGAATGTCCAGGGTAGATCTCACTGACAAGGTGTCTTTGAGTAAAGACTAAAGAAAAGAGGGAGCTGGCCAGTGGGAGAGTCAGGAGACCTTCATTCTGGGCAGAGAAAATACAACAGTATGAGGGCAAAGGACCTCATTCAGAGCTTGAAATGTGTATTCTAGAAAAGCAGAGTCCACTGTGGCCAGAGGGGAGAAGAGAAAAGTAGTGGAAGATGAACTGAGAGGTTAAAGAAAGCAGATCATATGGTACTGAGTAGGTCATACTTACGATGTTGGTTTTTACTTTGAATGAAATAGGAAATTATGGAGGGTTGGAAGCGGAAAGGAGTGTTTTTTTTTTTTTTTTTTTTGACAAACGTTTTAGCAGAATCGCTGCAAGAGGACTTGAGTTTCAGTGGTGTGAATGGTGTTTATTTGTAAAGGAATATATTTGGGAAATCCAGGAAAGAGCCCAAGAACATGCATCAAATGTATCATGACTCTAAGTGTAAAATAAATGAAATGATACAAGTGCAAAAAGAAAACACAGATGAATTATTCTATAACCTGGGTATATATAAAGACTTTTTAGCTATGAATCCTAATCCAGATGCAATAAAAGAAAAGATTGATCAACTTGACTGCATAAAAACAGAAAATGTTTACAAGGCAAAACAACGCCATAAACATAGTGAAAAGACAGCTGACAAACTGAGAGAAAATATTTGCAAAATACATCATAGATAAAGGACTAATAATCCTAATGTATATTTTAAAAAGGTCTTAAAATTTGAGGGAGAAAAAGGCAAAAATACAGGATAAAAAATGGACGCAAATATGAACAGAGCACTCACAAAAGAATAAAGTAGCTATTAAACCTATGAAGATATGTTCAAGCTCACTCATAATAAGATAAATGCAAATAATAACACTGAGATACAATTTCTCATTTATCAGATTGGCTAAAATTTAAAACCATGATGATGACACATTAGGTTAATGAGACTCTAGGGAAACAGGTGTTCTCATACCTTCCGAGGAGGAATGTAAGTTGGTACAACTTTTATTGAGGGAATTTGGCAGTATCTAAAATAACTACATATGGTTTATCATTTGTCCCAGCAATCCCACTTCCCTTCCAACAGTAGGAAAATAAATATGTGCAAGGTTATTCTTTGCAGCATTAAAAACAACCTAAATGTCCACACATGGGGAAATGGTTGAATCAACTATGGTATGTCCACACAATGAAGTAGCCGTAGAATGAGTGCCATCTCTGAACCTATAGAGAGTGAATTCCAGCATATCTGTTAAGGGTAAAAGGCCAACTATGAAATGCTTTCTTTTATGTAATAAAAGAGAAGAAATAAGGCAAATGTGTTATCTGCTCCAGAAACTACAGAAATTGTGTGTGGGAAGAAAAATGATGAGAGAAGTAATATTTCCTTGGTTATATCTTTTTGTATAGTTCTGACATTCAGAACTATGTTAATGTTTCACCTATGCCAGAAAAAAAATCAAAATGAGTGGAAAAAATAAAATAGAATATGCAAAGAAACAAATTAATCTAATATTTCAAATGTATAACATAATCACATTGAAGAGAAGGGATAATTAATCTCAGTAACTTTTGAACACAGCAATATTGTTTTTATACTTTCAGGTTATAAATAAAATAAAACTTTAAAAAATGGTAGGTTTGATTTCCACCGTGGTATGGAGTTAGCCATTTTAAAGTTCTTTCTGTGTATTCTAGGATTGAGTAAATCAGTAAGTATATTGTGGAACTAGGCGTCTCATTGATGAGGAAGGGAGTGAAACACTTGGAAAGAGGGAACTATAGAATAAAACCTATGGTAATGGCCTGGAATTGGAAGATTTGTACTGTAAGACTTAGATACAAATCTAGACAGAGATAGGATTAAATAGACATGGGAATGGATATCCATACAAATATTTCCTTGCTCTGTCTGATGAGAGGGTGTAGAAGCAATGATACTCCAGTAATGATAGACACACAGCATCCAAATCTTGGTTTCTAAATACCATTCTCTACTAAAAAGAGCCAGCATTCCTTGGAGCGTTGGCACGTCCCATAGCTGGGTCTGCAGAAGCACAAGGTGAGTCTGGAGCATCTTTTTTTTCTTTTGCCTTAAAGTAAGGAAATGCTCAAAGAATAAGAACAGGTCAAAATGACAAGAGGTCCCACTGGTCAAATCAAGGACAATATGAGCATCAAAATAAGACAATAACAGATTATGACCCATTGAATAAATAAATACAATTCATATTGATATAGACAGCAATTCCATGCTGATATAGACAAATAAATGAATAAAAAACTAGACAAGAATGGAAAGCTTCTTTACGGCAGAATGCGAAATAATGAATAGAGAAGTAATGACTAAATTAGCAAAAATACCACTTGACAACTAACATAGTAATAATTGATTTAGGCAAGAATCATCAATGGATGCTGAAATTAATGGGTAAAAATTTGATAAAGAATGATGACTTTGCATGAAGTATCTCCCCGGAAGATACTTATTAATTACAAAAGGGAAATATTAAGTTAAATATTAAGTTATAGAAACCTGGCAGACACCACCTTAAATAAGTGTCAGAGTTATCACCACCAGTAACAGGACGTATAGATAGCATGTGCCTCCTGATAAGGACACAATGCGCTCTGGTATTCCTGCCAAAAAATTAGATTCAATAACCTGAATCTAACCATGCAGAAATTACAGACAAACTCAAATCGAGGGATGTGGCAGCAGCCTCCAGAATGGCCCCCAGTGGTCTCTGCCTCCTGGTATTTCCATCCACGTACAGCGCCCTTCACCCTGAAAAGGGCTGATCTGTGTAATCAATTGGATATTCCAGAGATAACATAGTGTGATTTCTGAGGATAAGTCATAAAAGACATTGTGGTTAGCTGCCATGTCATGAGGACACAACATTCAAGCAACCAGCCCAATGGCAAATTCCACAGGGTAAAGAAATAAGGCATCTGGCCAACAGCCAGGTGAGTGAGCCATCTTAGATGTGGATCCTCCCATCCCAGTTAACCCTTCAGATTACTGTAGCTCCCGCTGACATCTGGACTGCAATCTCATGAGAGATTCCAAGCCAGAAACAACTAAGCAACCCACAGAAACTGTGAGAGATAATGTTTATTCTTGCTTTAAGGCACTAAGTTTGTGGTAGTTTGTTACTATGCAACAGATAATGAATTTAAAAGTCAGTCTGCAAAAATAATTGCTATATATTCTTCAAAAAATGTCAAGGTCATGAGAGACAAAGACTGAGAACATTTTTCCAGATTAAAGAAGAATAAAAGATATGATGGTCAAAGGCAACTCAGGACCCTGGAATGATCCTGGGAAAAAAAAGGTAATTTGCTGCTGTTGCTTTTTTGCTATAATGAAGATTATTGAGATGATTGTTGAAATTTGAATGCAGTCAGTAGCTTACAAAATAACATTCTATCAATGTTATTTTCTTATTTTTTATCATTGTACTGTACTTATGGAAGAGAATGTCCTTGTTTTTAGGAAATACACACTGAAGTATTTAGAGGAGAGATAAATGCCTGTAAATTATTTCAAACGGTCCAAAGTAATAATTACATTATCATATATATGTATATATCTGTATCTAGAGAGGAGAGAGAGGGAATGGTAAAGAAAATATAGTAAAATGGTAACGTTTAGAGAACCAGGGTGATAGGTATATGGGAATTCTTTGTACTATTCTTGAAACTTTTCTGTAGAAATTACTTCAAAATAAAAAGAACTTAATATTGGAGGTGGCTGCTGTTCCTAAATTTCCTAAGTAAACAAACTTTTTTCAAACTGGGAGTTGAATCCATTAATAGGTTTTGAAATGAGTTTAGTGGATCCCAACTAGAATTTTTTTTAAAAGGATGGGATAGCATAGTATAACACGGCACGGCATAGCACAGGCATGGCACGGCTTGGCATGGCATGGCATGGCATGGCATAGCATAGAAGGCAAGCACGGTAGACTTGCCTTAGTAAAGGCGAGTACTACTTTGTGCAATTTTTATTCCAGAAAGAAAAAAAAGGGGGCGTAGTGGGTTGTACTGTCAAAGTTGGAAAGCCAAGCGCTGAGGGGCCAGTCTGAGCCAAAGACTGACTGGAGTTCCTCCGCCCGCCCTCCCCGTGCCGGGCCCTCCCCGCCTCTTCCATGCTCACCGGCGTGGCGTCCGCCCCCAGGCCACCTGCAGGTGTGCGCACAGACCTAGCGCGTGGTGCCAGACACTATTTAAGGGCCCGCCTCCCCCGGCTCGCAGCTGCCTGCTGCTCCGGCCCTGCCCTCCCGGAGCTGCCGGAGGCTCGCGGGTCTCGGAACGCATCCCGCTGCGGGGGCTGCCGCCGTGGCATGGGCGCCGCGGGCCTCTTCTGGGTTTTCTGGGCTGTTGTCGCGCCAGGCGTCCTCGGTGAGCCGGGAGGGGGAGTACGGAGGTAGGGACGCGAGTAGGGCAGGGAAGGTTTCTCTGCCGCGATGCAAAGCAGAGAACCAAAAGCGAGAAAGTGGGGGCAGTGCTGGACGCTTGCCTGTCTCCTGCTGGCATGGGGAACTCCGCAATCTCCTGGTCCTGAATGTCCCCACTGGCTCCTCCAGGAGCTGGGACCTCCAGAACTGGAGTCTGCGCCGCGGAGGGGCGCTGTCTGATACGCCGGTGTGGCGGATGGCGTGCTCCCCGCCACCGGGATTCAGCAGGTGCTCATTGCCCTCTGCCCGGAGGTCGGCCAGCGCCACCGCTAGTCGCACACCCAAAGCCTACCCAGGCTGTACAAGGTCGCGGCGCGCTCCGCTCAGCGCAGGGGTTTCTGTACACGCGGAGCTCCGCTTCTGCCCAGTAAAAGCCTAAAGAAGAATAATATCTGGTTCCCAATCATAGTTCTCTTATTTTCTGAACTTTGATGTGATGTTGGTAAAGAGATCCTAAACGTCGAACATCTGTTCTTAGTTTTTAAAGTTGAGACATGAATTAAAAGTATAATTTTCGTCGTGTTATTTACTTTCTGTAATGATGTGGGCTTCCAGAAGGTCTCATTCAACGTTTATTATAACATTTTTTTCCCCAGATCGCCTGGATTTTAAAGTATTATAATTTGTTAAGAGCAGAGTCTCTTGGCTATAAGATAGGTCTAACTTTCTAATTGTCTCCAGGATACAGTGAATTCCTAGTTCATAAGATGTTTACCGCAAGCAGACCTCAGGAACTGCGTGACTTTGGGCAGGTCATTTAGCTGCCTGACCCTCAGTTTCTTCATCTGCAAAATGAAGCTGGTGATAAATTGTCCTATCACATCACTGAGTTGTTCTGAATATTAGATGAAACTAGGCAAATGGAAGTTAGATGTTAGTTGTCACTACTAAATATCAGTAATAAGCCTTATAATAAGTATGCACCTGCTTTTATATAGCCAGCATTTAAGCAGCCACTCCCAGCTTATTAAAGTGTCTGAGATATTGCAAATATTGGTTTATTACAACTTACTCTGTGTGCTTTCTTGACATTTAACTGTGTCCTGACCCTTAATTACACATTTCTGAAAACCATTATCTTCAACTCTGTCTTTTTCTACGTATTCATTCCGTTTGAACAAATGCCCATTCACAACTTTCTCTAACTCCTCCATGGGGTACAGTCCCAGACCTGGCTTCTCACCTGTTTCTAAATTTCAGAGAGGATATTATCAATTAAAAATCGAATTCTTCACCAGTCCTGCCCATTCATCAGCCCCTCCGAGTACACACCCAGTACCAGAGCAGGGCCATCGTCTAGCTCACTAACCTCCAAAGACCAAGTCTATCTGTCAACCGTCAAAGCTACGTCTGTTATCTTTTTATCGTTCTTATATCAATATTCTAATTCCAAGCATTGTAATTACTTGCATAACAATGTCCTCTCTTCCAGGTCACTCTGCTGCCAGTCTCTTTAACCTTTCCAATCATGGAAACGAAAATTTAAAAAATGTGTGTATTTTAATTATTCTACACCCTTGATTAAAAATTTAAAAGGGCTCCCTCCTGCCTTTGGGAGAAAATCTAATCTCTTTAGCCATCTAAGCCCTTTGGAGTGGTCCTCACCTGTGCCTGTGTCCTGACTCTCCATCGTGATCGTGTGTGTGGCTCACCCTCTTGCCCACCTGTCACCATTGCTTGTGCCTTACCACAGCGGTCCCCAACCTTTTTGGCACCAGGGACTGGTTTCATGGGAGACAATTTTTCCACGGACTGGGGATGGGGGGTGGGGTGTCGTGGGGGGTGTGGCGTGGAGCTCAGGCGGTGATGCACGGCTGTTTCCTAAGAGGCCACGGCCCAGTGATGGGCTGCAACCGGAGGTTGGGGACCGCAGCCTTGCCACTCCCCCTGCTGACTTTTACTGTCACTGTGTAGCTAGCACCACAGATCATCCCCGGGGCTCCCTGCCAGTTCCTGCACTTTCATGTGCTTGAGAAATTCTTAAAGTGCCTATTTAAAATATGGGTTCTTGGGTTCCACCTCACCCTCCAGAGAGTGATAGGTTTGGAGTGTGGCCCAGGAAGTTGAGGTTTAACAAGCACTCTAGAAGATTCTGAAGCAAGTGTTTATAGGGCACGCTGCTAAGCAAAGGCAACGGAAAGCACATGTGCTTCTTAGTGTTTTCCCACTTTTTCCTTTTGTCTGTTTGCATAAAGAGATTCAAATTTCCTAGACTCTTAGATTTCACTCAAGCCTTCACTGGCAACCTAATCTCATCCTACACTAAGAACATGAAATAAGAATTCTCCCATTTTCCAATCAGCTGATCCACAAACCTGTCTCCATCTTGGATCAGATCCTGCTCTCCCTGCTTAACACCCGCTAGAGCTTCCCATCACACTAGAATGAAATACATGCCCCTTATTCTCTACTGTGAGGCCTCTGCCTCTCTCTGAAATTCTCTATACCCCACCTACTCCCTCCCTTTAGTCCTTGAACACAGCCGTGTTTGCCGGGCCTTCACACAGGCTATCGCTCTATTGAAACGCTCACGCTACAGGTCATCCCTTGCCTGGCTCCTTCCTGACATTCAAGCCTCAGCCCACTGTTGCTCTTCTTTGAGTCCGGTCTGAGGTAGCCCTTACACCAGGACACTCTCTGACACATAACCATGTTCTGTTCCCTACAGACCACTATCACCATCTGAAATTGCTGTGAGGGTGTGAGAGCTTCTCGTGACCCAATGGGACTCCATTTTTCTGCCCCTGTTCTCACCCTTCTCAGCAAAACTTCTCATTGACTGCTTGCTCACATTTCTTTCTCTCCTTGCGCACCGCACGCAGATTTCTTTCCCACCACTCTCCTGAAGCTGCCTTTGGCAAGGTCATTACTGACCTTCATGCTGACAAATCCAAGGGTCATTTCTCTATGCTGATCTTTCCCAGTCTTTCAGCAAAAGCTGACTACTTCCTCCCTCTTGAAACAGTTTTCATTCTCATCGCCCAAAACAGAATGGAACTCCAACCTGTTTTTTCTGTACTTCTCTAATTACTCTTAGTCTCTTTTGCTCTATCTCTAAAATATTAGAGGGTCTTGGGGTTCAGCCGTGGGCCTGTTCCCTCTGTCTTCCTGTTTTCTTCCTAAAAGATCTCATCCAGTCTCACGGCTGCGATTGCTATTTGTATGTTGGAGACTCACATTGACTACCTGTAGTCCTGACTTCTCTCCTGAGCTGCAAATTTGTATATCCAGCTCTCCAGCTGCCTTCTTGGCATCTTCATCTGGATGCCTAGTGAGCATGTGAAATATACCAAGTCTGAAGGGAAATGATTCTGCACACCATTCCCGCAGAACCACGCCCACCACACACACACACACACACACACACGCACAGTTCCTTCTCCAGGCTTTCTCATCTCAGTACAAGGTCATTCCATCAATCAGGCAGCTCATGGCAGAAGCCTGCAAGTCATGAACCCTCCCATTTCCTTAGCCCCACATCTAAAACAACAAAAGTCTTACCAATTCTATTTCTAACATATAGCCACTTCTCACATCCTCCCTTTCGCCCAAGCCTCATTTTTTTGCCCTGGACTGTACTCCATGCTCCTAAAAGTAGCAGCAGTCCAATCCACTCTCTATCCAATTACTGACTATTGTTTTAAAAAAGTAAATAATGCCATGTGGCTCTCTTGCCTGAACTCTTCATGCCTTCCACTCAGAGTCACATCCACACATCTTGCTGGGGTCCAAGAAGCCCGGCATGGCCCCTTCTACTGAGTGTTGTAACTTGATCTCCTACCACGCTGCCTTGCTCATTGCGTTCCAGCCACTCTTGCCTCTCCCTGTCCCTGGAGCCTACCAAATCCCTTCCTGCTGTTCAGCCTCTACCTGAGATGCTTTTACCCAGTGCTTTACCTGGCTGCCTGATTTGTCCCTTAGTCATAACTCAAATGTCACCTCTTCACAGGCCTTCCTTAACCATCACAACTGGAGTTGCATGCCACCCTGTCCTTTCTTCCTTCCAGTGCATTACACTGTGACACACCACTCTGTTTATTTCATTCATAGCACCATCTTATTTATTTCCTGGCATTAACTTATGGTCTGTCTCCCTCTATTGAAGTGGTCCCCAACATTTTTGGCACCAGGGACTGATTTCATGGAAGACAATTTTTCCACGGACCTGGGTGGGGGATGGTTTCAGGATGATTCAAGTGCATTACATTTGTTGTACACTTTATTTCTACTATTATTACATTATAATATATAATGGAATAATTATACGACTCACCATAATGCAGAATCTAATGCCGTCGCTAATCTGACAGGGAGGAGGAGCTCAGGCTGTGATGCAAGCCATGGGGAATGGCTGTAAATACAGATGAAGCTTCACTTGCTGGCCTGCCATTCACCCCCTGCTGTGCGGCCTAGTTCCTAACAGGCCACTGACCGGTACCAGTCTGTCGCCCAGGGGTTGGGGACTGCAGCTCTGTTGGAATATAAATTCTATGAGGGTGGGATACTTGTTCAAGGATGCATCTCCTGTGCTTAGGATGATACCTTGGTATATATGCATGACTGTTGTCAACCTAAATAACAGACAGAGAGGATCTCTACAAGAAGAAAATATTTATTTGGGAATAGAGCATTGCAATGAGAATACGTGCGCTCCAGTAAACTATGTGCGTATTTAGGGAGGTAAAAGAAGACAGAGGTTTTTATAGGAAAAAACAAGAAGGATTACATAATTGTTTTGAAATAATTATCCTTGGCTGCAAAGATCAGTAACAGTTTGATGTTGGACAGGCAGTTGCTGAAAACATATTCTTGCTGAAGAATTTTTTATATAAGGTTGTGATGGCCTTTGTGCAAGGTTGTGGTTTTTGCAGTCTTTTGTGATAGTTTTTGTCATCAAGCATCCAGGCATGATAACCTCTCTTCATGGCCTTCCCTGGCTAAATTTGTCAGGGTTTTTGTTTGGTTTCTTTTTATAGCATTAGTGATTCCATTTTGGTTCTGATAACTTTCACATCATCATTCAAAACTTGCTTATCCAATAGCCAGAAAACCCAGTATTAAGGTATTTGATTATATTAACTCTTATCTCAATGATAATTTTCCTCCTATCTGTTTTCTGATCAAACTTTCAGTCTTATTTTTATTATCCTATATATTGTTTTCCATTCATTTCCAATGGATTTCCAAGCCATTCCAGGTAAAATCCCATGGGCCCAAATAAAGAATTCAATGTGTCCTTGTTCACTGAACTCAGAAACTGCTTTGCCCAGTTAGTTTTTAACATGGTATGAGGAACGTGTGTGTGAATGTCTTGTCACCGTCTTCTATTTTAGATGCAGTCATGACCTACTCTGATTTTCATGTCTGATTACAGAAAGACGTGAAGAGGGTTCAGTGACCCTCAAGTAAAATGCATATTACTCAATGGTTCCTGGACTAACCTTCCCTTTTCTGATATGGAAGAGAAACTGATCTTTGAAAATTCTCTTGTAACCTGGGATTTTGGCAATTTCATTATTAATGAGGATTAGTGCCCCTAAAGAGAGAGTCCCCAGTCTCCTTATTAGGCACGAGACTTTCCTGTTATTTCTCATCCAGAAAATGTGCTTCTCATCTCATTTCACGTGGGAAGTCATGCTATGAAGCACCCTTCTGCTTTTGCTGTTTCCAGATCTTGGTTCCATCTTAGTCTCTATCATTGCTACTGATTACATCTTCTAAATTTAAATGGGTTTTCCAGCTTGTGGAGGACAATTTAGTATTGTCCGTATTTGCATTCAATAATTATACTTGAAACCACTTTATTAGCGTAACTGGTACAAGTGGTGTCAGGTCATGAAGTTTGTCTTCATTGAGGTCAAACTCTGATATTCCCTAGAGAGTCTTGCTGTCTTGCATCGAGTAAGCGCTTGGAAACATATGTGGGTGTTAATGGGGAAAATTAAAGGAGTTGAGGAAATAAATACAAGGGGACCTACTGGTGACATCTTGGGTTCCAACAGTGATAGCTATTTCACAACCAATCTGTGTGATTTCTCCAATGTCGGTGTGGGGCCCCAGGAAGCTGGGTGTGGTGGCTGCCACCTTGGGAGCTCTATGCATGCCTTTGTGTCAATTAGTTCACATTTATTCTTTGAATTTCACCTGTACAGGTCTCAGATTTGTTTGAAAAAGAAGAAGATTTATAAATTTGATATTTAAATACAGGGCTATTCTGGGAGGACTTCACAGGGAGGCACTTCTTTGCCTTGACTACCATCTGATCTAGAAAAAGAATTAGCTTCTTGCTCTCTGCATATAAATCTCTGCATTGAAACTCTCATATGTAGAAAAATGGCTTTTCCAGGTACATCCTCAAGTATGTGGTTGTTACCTATCTACTAGGATAACATTATTATTATTTTAAGTCACAGGGATCTGTCTTGAAATGACTAGTTCTTTTTATTTAGTAACTGTCAGAAAGTATTTATGAAGCTCTCTTTGGGGGCATATTACTCTACTAGATAGACAGAATAAAATAGTGAAGAATAATGAATAAACGTATTTTATCCTTTCTAGGCCCTAAAGGTTTAATGGTTAAGATAGTTATATAAATTCATTTAAGTAATTTTAAAGGAACATACATGTGCTGAGCTTTTACAAGATCTCTGGTCTACTTTAGTTTCCTATGCTATCCTAGAAAATATTTTATTCATAAGATTTTTACTTATAAAGTTCCAGTTTTTACTTATAAAAACTAGTTTTTTTTGCTCCAAACCCACCAAATGGTGTACATTAATTATATACAGTTTTTTGTATAACAATTATACCTCAATAAAGCTGGGAAAAAAGTTTCCTTAGTCCATGGTACCTCCCCACATGTAATTAATATGTTATTTTTATGTGCTAAATTTGCCTTCTGTTTCATTATTAAAGTTGATTAGACTCAGAACTTTTGGATAAATTCCATTTCATTGTTATTGCTGAATCAAGATGGTTTATGTGGATTTGCTTGCTGAGGATCAAGAGAGAGGTGAGAATTTAGGAGCTTGGGAACGAGCAGGGACCATGAGTAAGAAATAAATTAGACAAATGTCTAAGTTTGTTTCTAAAAAAGGGATATGACCTATGTTTGGATCTTTTATCTAAATTTGTATCTTTTTATTGTTGTGATCAGTATGCTTACATGGTTCTTTTTCTACTTTCCAGGGATTTCTTGTGGCCCTCCGCCTCCTATCCAAAATGGTTGGCTTAGTCAGTACTCTAAAGCCATACCTCCGGGTACTGTTGTAAGGTACACTTGTTTGAATACCTTCCGCCTCATTGGAGAAAAAAATATTTTTTGTATAAGTAAAGACCAAGTGAAAGCGATCTGGGATAAAGCTGCTCCTATATGTGAATACTACAATAAAAACTCTGTTTGCTCTCGGCCTAGCATACCAGGGGGGTATATCAGTAAAGACTCTAGACCACCATACAGACATGGTGATTCCGTGACATTTGCCTGTAAAACCAACTTCACCATGAAAGGAAACAAAAGTGTTTGGTGTCAAACAAACGCAAAATGGGGACCGACGCCACTACCGACCTGTGAGAGTGGTGAGTATGAAAATAAAACCGAGTTCGAAGGTCGGGGACTTGCATTTCTGGGCAGAGCATGTTTTGAACCCTTCTGAAGGAAGAACAGTATGAACGTGCAATGATGGCATGGAGGGAGGAAGCAAGGGAAAAGGTGAAAACTGTGGTTTCCTGGGTTTTTTTTTTCTCTTAGTTGTGGGGAAATATAACTACTCATTCAAAGAACATAATTGAGCAAAGGAATTTGAAGTATAATGGGAAAATGTAATTGAACAGACCTAATAATTGAGTAGAACTAAGTCTCACAAGAATGGGGTGAGAGTTTGTTGGGGCCGTGAGAATTGGATGGTTTTAAACTGGCCTATCCAGGTTACTGTTCAAATGAGAAGAAATATGGGCTCCAATAGTGCAAATACACCCAATGGATTTAAAAGTAATCTATAAACAGCTGTTAATAGAGTCCGGCCAAGAGGATGCCCTGCTCTCTGTGGTCTCTGTAAACACGCTCTGAAGTGATTCACTATTTCCCCAAGTCATCTCCTGAGCCATCACATTTAAAATCAAATGCCTTTGAAAATAGGGACGACTGTCAATCCTTCATTCCTTCTCGTTTGGTTTGGTCTGTGTTGCTGCTGAAACCTAAATACGAATTTCAATTCTACAATTATAAGAACTGATAATATTTGACAAGAATCTATACCATCAAAATTAGGTATTTGTTTTCTTAATAAAGAACAATATTGATAAATTCTAAGTGGATTAAAGAGCTGAACAGCTATTAAATTATGAAAAACAGGATTCTGTTTATCAATCTATTAATAAATAGATAATCTTGGAGGTAGATCTTAGGATAGTAACAAAATGGAGTGGCTATAAAAAACAATTAAGCCTTTATAAAGATTTAGGTAGACCTACATGTGTTGACATGGAAAGATATCATGGACATATTACTAAGTAAAAGGCGCAAGGGATAGAATAATATGTGTTAGGTGTACAGACATACAATGTATGTGTATGTACATATTATGTATAGGATTCTGGTAAACCATATTACTAATGTCTGCCAGGATAATCCTCTAAGCAGTAGCTTGCTACTTTTGGAAAGAGAATAGGCTTAAGGATAGAGTGAGAATATAGGTGAAAATTGACCTTTTGGTAATTGAAATTTTTCACAAGGCAAATGTAATTCATATAGTGTAACTAAAAATGAAAAATATTGTACTATTCATGGCATAAAATGGATACAATTAAACCACACCTCTTTGATCTTTGAGAGGCTGCATTGAAAATTAATGACAACTGGTTACCATAGATATCCATGTGTCATTTATTTGGATCTATGTCCTAAGCCAACATCTCGGTTGTGAAGGATGCATCATCTGATGGCTTCTTTCCTGATGTGTGTGTTGTGTGCGTGTGTAAAGATTTTCCCCTGGAGTGTTCACCACTTCCCACGATCCCCAACGGACATCACACAGGGGAGAATGTGGGCCCCATTGCACCAGGATTGTCTGTGACGTACAGCTGTGAACCTGGTTACTTGCTTCTTGGAGAAAAGATCATTCGCTGTTTGTCTTCGGGAGCCTGGAGTGCTGTCGCTCCCACATGTAAAGGTACCCAAAATTTACAACTTATTTTAAGAATTTGAGCTGTTCTGTTACTTGTCATGCTTTTCTCATCTCCGGCTTGCTTTATGTAGAAGCACGGTGCCAACCTCCAGGACGATTGCTTAATGGGCAGATAAAGACGCCGCCAAATCTTCGGGTTGGCGTCACTGTGAACTTTTCCTGTAATGAAGGGTGAGTGTCAGGAGGGTCTATGAGACTTCATTCATTTATTTGGGTTACATGTGCATGGCGTGAACTGTGGAACTTGCAGAAGGCTCCTCTGTGAGGATCTACGGGTAGCCTGGGTGAGGTTGTGAGAGGTAATGCTCATAGAAATCAGTTATGTCTTGTCTTGGATTTTAGGTAGAGGCTGCTGTTCTTCAGCACAAACTGCCCGATAGTTATGAATGACAACCTTCTGTCTCCAGGTATCGATTACAAGGCCAAGCTTCTAGTCGGTGTGTAATTGCTGGCGAGCAAGCTGTTTGGACCAAAATGCCTGAATGCAAAGGTAGGTCAGGCAACTGTGGTTTGCAAGGAACAAATTCTGATTTGTTCCTTGATTGGAGGTCCAAAAGCACACTGCATTCTCAGCCTAACTAAAAGCCTTTAGTTCAATTGTTACCATAAAGACTCTTACAGAGCAAAGAACTCCTAGAGATCTTTCAGGGATATGGTCTTCACTGAAGCATCCTTCGATTACCTCCTTGTCGTCTGCTTCCTCAAGTAAAATGGGGTTCCTGGGATTTTCCTCCTCTGAAAGCTACGTGGACTTGCTAAGTAGGCAGCCAGGCCACGTACATCAAGGGAGATTGTATATTTGGTAAAAGAAATCAAAGGATCGGCAGAGTAGGTATACTCAGGAATGAAGCTTTAAAAGCGTACTTTTAATAGCTGCCTTGATTGATCCATTACAGATTCAGATATCTCTGTCCTAGGATGTGAGAGTGGCATCAGGCAGCATCCGAGGCATTCTTTGTTTGCAGTGCGCCTGTGATCTTGTCGTTTCTCTCTGTAATTTCCTTAGAAATTTTTTGCCCACCGCCTCCCCCTATTGTCAATGGAAGACATACAGGCAGCTCTTCAGCGAACATTCCATATGGAAGAACAGTCACTTACACTTGTGACCCGGACCCAGAGGAAGGAGTGAAGTTCATTCTTATTGGCGAGAACATTATCCGTTGCACAACCGATAGTCAGAAGACTGGGGCCTGGAGTGGCCCTGCCCCACGCTGTGAACTTTCTACTTCTGCGGTTCATTGTCCACGTCCCCAGATCCTAAGAGGCAAGATGTTAACTGCACAGAAAGATCAATACACTTACAACGACACCGTGGTATTTGCATGCCTGTCTGGCTTCACCTTGAAGGGCAGCGAGCAAATCCGATGTAATGCCCGAGGCACGTGGGAGCCATCGGCACCAGTCTGCGAAAAGGGTGAGTGTTCCAATACTCAGAAAAGGTGTCACTGATTCATCTTTTTAAAAAATTAGAAGAAGGGGTTTTGGGCTTTAAGCAGGGCCTTTTCCAGCTTCTACTGTCCTCAGCTATACTAAATATAGTGAACATGGGTTTTATAGAGGACTTGCTGAACACCATATGCTGAACACCAATATGCTTGGGAAAAATATTAGGAATCACTAAGTTGCCCATTTCTCTAGGGATAAAAATAAGTGGGAGAAAAATGCTTGTTTGTTGTAATAGAGATTTCTTAAAAGGGAAGTCATCAAAGCCACCATCCCAGGGGTGTATCAGAATCTTCCATAAGAGCAAACAAGATGATTCTTTAAGAAGGGAAGAGACCGGAGAGGAGTTCCAGCACCGAGTGGGAACTGAGCCAAATCTGCAGCAGTCTCAGTGGAGAAAAGAAAAAAAAGATCGAGAGACACTGATCTAAAATGACCCAATTCTAGACTGCAAGATATCATCTGTATCATTCAACTGCTACCAGAGTGGAATTGTAACATTAATGTTCATTTCTTTGGCCCAGTTTCCTTCTGTTGTTGTTTACTTAAGGAGTTTTTTGTTTGTTTGTTTTTTTCCTTTTCTTTAGAATGCCAGGCCCCTCCTGAAATCCTAAATGGGAAAAAGGAAGATAGGCACATGGTCCACTTTGACCCTGGAACATCCATAAAATATAGTTGTGACATTGGCTATGTGCTGGTGGGAGAAGAATCCATACATTGTACCCCTGATGGAGTGTGGACACCCACTGCCCCCAAATGCAAAGGTGCCAGGTCTCAAATGTAGATGTTTTGCCTGTACTGAGATTGCCTTGAGTCGATTTCTCATCCAAGTCTTTTTTCTTAGAGGCAGAATGTAAACCTACAGGAAAGAAGCTCTTTACAAAACCCCAGAATCAATTTATTAGACCACATGTTAACCCTTTTTGCAAAGAAGGGTGAGTGAAGGCTGTCTCAGCCTAAACCAGGTCTGGCTTATAAGTGCACACTGTGGGCTCTATGTAAGAGTTTGTCTCAAGGTCCTTCTCTGTCATGTGTTCATGGAAGTGTCAATCACGCTGTTCTTCCATGCATGGAAATTAGGCCTGTGCAGTGTATGGATGGTGCTGATGTTGGCTACATTTTTGTTCCTGTTGCTTCTTGTCCTGAAAGTGACGAGTCTGCTTTGCAGACTCTTGCTTAGCTTAGTGGTCACCTGGTGGCAAAATGACATGACTCTTTGTCTCTAGGTACCGCTTAGGCGAAAGTGTTTATGAGATGTGTGAAGACACAACTCCTTGGTTTATGGAGATTCGTGTTTGCAATGGTGAGTAGCAAAAATGACACAGGAATTACAATAATGTGAGATCTATGCACTGCCTGGAAGATTTCTGTTTTAGGCCATGTTATGGGAACTAGAGTATTCGATTCTGTTCTGTTAAGTTTGCTGACAGCTATAGTTGCACAGTTTTGCCGCATCTTTCTGTTGTCACCTTTCCTGCTTCAATTAGTTAAGTGTACTTAGCACTGATTCTCTTTTGTGACTCAGGATTATAAGAGTAATGACAGCAGTGAGTATATGAGCCACCATCTTCATTTTGGGTACACCACAGTTTAGTGGAGAGGTCAGGGGGTTGGTGTCCGGCCTGATCTCAGATTCTGTTTCCACTCCTTCATAGGCGTACAACTTGGGCAATTTATGTAACTTCTCTGAAAGTCTAGCCTCTCTGTAAAGTTGGCATGAGACTACAGACTTCAAAGTTATTGGAATTTGAAGGTCCTATCCCTACGTTCTAGATGAGAACGGTGCCTGTCACAAAGCAGGTGTTCAATCTGCCATAAATATTTTTAGATAACCATATAAACTATCCTATCACCTCAGAACAAAGATGGCACTCAAGAAAGCATAATTCTATTCCCCTGTGCCTTTTATTCTCCTATTGGCTATTTAAAAAGGAATTCTTCTTTTAATTAGCAATTTACTACTGGGCCTTACTGCCTCAGAATATGATATTGATCAAGCATGTTCACTATCAATAAAGATTTTCTTTCCTGTGAAATCTAAGTTGAATTTTACATATATAGTGAGATTTGATATAAAATTGATCCAAACCCTCCAGGAAACAATAGGTTCGTAACCAGCTTCATTTCTATCCTTCAGTGTTTAATACTGGAATAGAATCCCACGGTATCTTTTCATCTCTCCAGAAATCACCTGCCCACCGCCTCCTGTTATCCACCATGGGACACACACAGGGAGCTCCTCAGAAGACGTTTTATATGGCACCATAGTCACTTACACATGTAACCCTGGGCCGGAGAGAGGAGTGCCGTTCAACCTCATTGGAGAGAGCACCATCCGTTGTATAAGCGATGCTCAAAACAGAGGCACCTGGAGTGGCCCCGCACCCCGCTGTATACTTTCCCTCCCTGCTGTCCAGTGCTCACATGTCCACCTTGCAAATGGATACAAGATATCTGGCAAGGAAGCCCCATATTCCTACAACGACAGTGTGACATTCAAGTGTAATAATGGATTTACTTTGAAGGGCAGCAGTCAGATACGCTGCAAAGCTGATAACACCTGGGATCCTGAAATACCAGTTTGTGAGAAAGGTAAAAACCCAATAAGGAAAAAAAAAAAGAGAGAGAGAAATTTATTTACTTATTCTTGTTCATTATCTCTCACCCAAAAACTGTATTATGGAAAAACGCAAGGGGGCAAAGATTACTTTCCATATCTTCCATTCTGTGATAGAATGTTCTGTGTGTTGTGTGTGTTCTTTGTGTCAATGGCCCCTTGGATCTGGGGTCATCTATTCAGGGCAGATAACGAGAGGACCCTTTAGAGGGGCCTAGTTCCTTCAAAAGAGCAGACAACACTCAGTGATGAATTAGAGCTTCGTGGTCTTTGGCTTCGAAGTCGCAGATCGTCTATTGTGGAATGTTGTAGATGCCATGTTCTTGAGTCGAAATTCCTCTGTGTTGGTATTTATGTGGGGAGTTTTCTCTTCAGACTGCCAGCCACCTTCTGGGATACACCATGGTCAGCATACAGGTGGAAATACGGTCCTCTTTGTCTCTGGGATGACTGTAGACTACACTTGTGACCCTGGCTACTTCCTTGTGGGAAACAAATCCATTCACTGTATGCCTTCGGGACATTGGAGTCCTTCTGCCCCACGGTGTGAAGGTACTTTGAGTTCCAGTTGTCTTTCTCTTTGATGTGAGGCCTCTATAAATACTGTGATTCCATTTTGCTCTTACAGAAGCTTGTCAGCCTGTGAGAGAGGATCTTCAGGAAATTCCAGTGGATTCACACGTGGAACCAGTTAACACATCCTGTCCAGACGGGTAAGCGATGATTGAATCTGAGAAAGGGTCTCCCCCTTGTTCTGCATATTAACTCTACCCTCAGCTTGTCTCGGTGACTCCCTTTAGAGCTTCCTCATTGTCACATGCACAGAGAATGTGAGGTCCCAGTGGCCTAACTAGCAACTCTGACTTTTCAGTCCTTTCTTGACATGGAAAGGGCTTTGCTGTGAGTGACTCTAAGTCTAAAGTAATTTTCTTAATTGGAAGACTGAGTGTTTCAAGCCCTGTCTACCAAAGTTCTTGTTGAGAAGCCCCTCTGAATTTGTGGTTTGAAGAGGCTAGGTTGGAGAGATGTGATATTGGGAAGAGGAAATGTATTATAATCTGTCTCTCTGCAGGTACCAGTTGACTGGACATACTTATCAGAAGTGTCAAGATGCTAAGAAGGGGGTTTGGTTCCAAAAAATTTCACTTTGTAAAGGTAAGTTAGGAAAAAAAAAACCCGATAGTGGTAGTAGAACATTAGATAGGCGAGGCCACTGAAGAGCTAGTCTGTCACCGCTTCTACATACAGCCTTTGGGTTGTCCTTCAGTGGAAGTAAGGTAAAAAAAATCTTGTAGTGCTTGGTCAGCACTGGCATTGGGAAACAACATTGTCAAGTAGGAGCTATTTGCCATATATCCGCTAATTTTGCTAACAATAAAAAATATATATCCCATACTGCTAGGTCATGGGAACATAGCTGTATTTCTTTCTTTCTTAATACTTTACTGTATTTTCTGAAATTTTTTTTTTTTTTTGGAATGAGTATGTATGACTCATATAACATTTAGTAAAGCTGTTTTAGAAAAGCATGATCCAGGTTGCAAAATTTACATAATTTTCTAGTTATGTGACATATATGCAGCTATATAGTATCGTTTGTATCTGAATGAAGGCCATCCACCTTGATGTGCTGGCTGAAGTTAAATTCCCTAAATCTCTTCTGCAGTTATTCACTGTCAACCTCCACCAGTGATTGACAATGGGAGGCACTCAGGCATGATGGCAGGACACTTTCTATATGGAAATGAAGTCTCTTATGAATGTGACCAAGGATTCTATCTTCTGGGAGAGAAGAATTTACTGTGTAGAAATGATTCTAAAGGACATGGATCTTGGAGTGGCCCTCCCCCTCAGTGCTTAGAATCTCCCGCTGTAACCCATTGCCCTAACCCAGAAGTCAAACATGGATACACTCTCAATGAAACTCATTCCGCATATTCCCACAATGACGTAGTATATGTTGCCTGCAATCCTGGCTTCATCATGAACGGCAGTCACTTGATTAAGTGTCATACGGATAATACATGGGTGCCAGGTGTACCAACTTGTATCAGAATGGGTAAGATATTTTAAGGGCTAAAATATGGGTGGTTGTACAGAATAAAGCAAAAGGTTTTTGAATCTACACTTGCCATTGTATCTAAAGAAAAGCACCTAAAAGCTAAGGCAATTATATTGTTTTACATGATACCTGACTTTTCTTATCTTCTCACCTGATTCTTTTTCCCTCCTTTCCTTTTTCAGTGTGTTGCACACTAGTACATGAAAGAATCATGGTTAATTTCCAAATTGATGGAGCCTAAAAATGTATTATTCTCATGAATTTAGAATAAGAAAAAATGCACATACCATTTTTTTTTTTTTTTTGGCAAATGTTTGGCAGTAATGCTGCTGGATAGTTTGATATTATGATACCAGACAGCAAGAGAACTTTGGGCGTTCTGGAGAATGAAGCTGGCCTTTAAACCCACTGAATTATCTTCCTCATAATTTTAGTTATCATTTGTCATCCTCATTCCTTTCAATGGCTATGGCAGAGGCTGCCAATTGGTGACCCAAGACCTGAATTCCACTTCCCAGAACTGTTTTCTTTGGCCAGCAAAATGGTCTTATTTTAAGTGAAATCCATCTTCAGCCCAAGATGAATAGCGAACCTGCAAGCAGTGAGGGCCCCCTTGACCTCCCCGTAATATACTAGTAACTTTAGCTGAGCAGTGGCTGCCAATTTTAGAAGGATGCACCTCTCCTACTTTTCATGTCTGGTGGCTTCCCTTCCTGGCTCCTGTAATCATTTGACTGCGTGACCCTCAGACTACAGCCTGCCTACTATTTAAAGGGAAAATAAAAGAATACTCTTGGCTGATGGACTACAATTGTGGACCACAGCCATTGATGTTTCATTATCTTACTTTTGACACTTTTCTTCAGATCATGTATTAATATGGTATAGATAGGAAATGCAGGTCTCTGTCCAGTGTTGCTTGGTCTGGGTGTAATGAATGAGTGTTTCTGGATCCCAGTTGGTTGACTTGCTGCCTGCTGCCTTTCTGTGTCACCATCACCCAGAGATAGTGTTGGCTATGTGTTTCTCTGTGCTGAATTAAAGACCCTTTCTTATTGGTGTCTAAGCTTTCTTAGGGTGTCAACATCCATCCAAGATCCCGAATGGAAATCATACTGGTGGCAGTGTATCTCAGTTTTTCCCTGGAATGTCAATCCTGTACAGCTGTGACCAAGGCTATCTGCTGGTGGGGGAGGCACTCCTCGTTTGCACATATGAAGGAACCTGGAGCCAACCTACCCCTTATTGTAAAGGTGCTTTATCTATTTTTTCTTATTTTTAAATCAAATTTGCGCCAAATAGTTGTATTCAGTTAGGTGCTTTCATCTTAAAATAGCCAAAGAAATGCATCATTTGAATAATCTAATTAAATGCGTTTGATTGGATTAATGTATTTGTTAATCTAAATATCTCAAAATAAGAAAAATGTCTTAGGCTGTTATCTGCCTACTGAATGACCACTTATGTGGTCATTTACATATAGAAAGTTGAAATGTTTTTGTAATTTAAGCAACTAAAGCACAGGTCGTATTTATACTGTGGTTATAGTTATGGTAAGTGTGTATTTGACAAAGTACCAATAAAAAGCACAACGATCTTTTGAGTATATTTCCTCTGAGTCATGGTGGAATTATGGGTAAATTTTTTATAAAAGTTTCAGAAAGTCATTTTCTTTATCATAAATAATGCATATGAAATATGATTAGTAAGCTAATATCTTTTGCCGAGTGCTTTTTACTCTATGCCAGATACTGTGCACAGCCCTTTACCTGCATTTTCTCATTTAGTCTTCATGAGATCCACCTGAGCTTGCTGCCATTTTTACCCCTGTTTTATAGACGAGGTTCCGGTAGCGTGGAGAGATTTGTAATTTGCCCAAAGTCACACATATAGTAGGAACTACAGTCAAGATTCAAATCCAAGATCTTGCACTATTGACCCCTACATTGCAGAAAGGAGAAATGAAAAAGCATGCACAAGGATGAAGAATTAGTAAGAACAGAAGCAGATAAAACAATTCAGACTGCTTAATATTACCTGTTAAGCCCTCATGATTTCTCTAAGAAGCTGTTAAAATTATCCAACACTGTCAGCATAGAGACTGAAGCAAAAGGAAAGAAAATAATCTGGTTTAAATGGCTTAGAGGTTATTGAGATAGATGGCTGACACTTAAAGACTGTGCCTAGGATGTTGTCTTAGCCTATTTCAATGAAGCTTTCCTTGCTGAGAATGAAATAAGTTGGTGTCATAAACCTTTCTATTAAGGGAAGTCTCTGTTTTCTTGGTAAAAGACCAAAATGTGACTCTGCCTTGATTAGATTCCTTTAATTTCAGAGGTAAACTGTAGCTCTCCAGCAAATATGAACGGAATCCAGGGGCTGGAGCCTAGGAAAATGTATCAGTACGGAGCCATCGTAACTCTGGAGTGTGAAGACGGGTATACCCTAGACGGCAGTCCCCAGAGCCAGTGCCAGGCCGACCATCAGTGGAACCCTCCCCTGGCTGTTTGCAAATCTGGTAAGAGCAAAGGGCTTCACTGCCGCGGGTGCCTGGCCCATGGAGAGAAGAGAGCAAGAGGTCTCCCTCAATGTGGAGTCTCTGGGGTTTTAAATTGCCCTAGGTCTGTGACCAGTGGTATAATAACAAAAGAACTTGAAGTTGGTGGTCTATTCTAGAACAAGCACAGCTGTCTGAGGATGAGGGAAGTAAATAAAATAGTCAGAAACACTACCTTAAAAGGAACCGAAATGCAAAACTAACCACCTTACATTTGGAAAGGAGTTACTGTGGAGACTGCCCTACTTGCTGAATCTTGAGTTTTAAGCGCTTACTAATTTGACAGGGAGCTCCAAAAATATGTTAACTAACCACGTATGACAGTTAATATTTGCATTCTAACCTGAGAAATCTCTGATTATGAAATTGAGTGTATTGGGTTTTTCCACTGGTGTACTCCCACAACCTACCTGATTAAAGTGAAAAAAAAAAAAAAAAAAAAACCCACCAAGAAGTCCAGTAAATTGTTACATAAGAAAAGTGTGGGCATGACTCAGGGTTCTGATATATTTTTTAAATAGACTTAGAAGGGAGCTGAGTGTTGACTCCTGGGACATTACCATGGGACTTAGGGCTACATTGAATTATGCTACTAGACTAATATTTTCATGATTTTGTATTCTCCTTAGATCAATTTGTTCCTATTCTTTCCGGTAAGTTTTCTTAAATACTTGAAGAAAAGTTCTTATGATGTTTTATAAAAATACATAAAATTAGAGGTCCTATATCCTACCTGTTAATATTTTTTTACTTTAACTCACAAGAAATGATGTTTTTTGGTGTTTTAAGGATATTGTAATATGCATGTCACATTACAAAATGTCACTTTGGGATAGAGTTGGATAAATAATTTGAATAGCCTATTATTCCTTCTTTTTAAATTGATATTTTAGTTTTCATTAACTCTTGGTCTTTTGCTGATTTGGTATTATTGAAATAGGATGGCTTTTTCTGCTGTAGGAAAATATATTTCGCAACTGAGAGTTAAATGTTGTTATGCAAAGTTATAAGAACGTGGTGTCCTGTGCTAATTTCACCCCAGTGACAAGAATGTTAATAATAAAACTTAAAGGAACATAAAAACTCCATGGAAAGTTGACTGGAACTCTGTGGTCATGTGCCTGATGCTTTTGATTCAATGTGGGCTGGGTCAAATCAGAAAAACCTTAAGCCCAAGTATGATTATTCAGGAATTCAGTATTTATGGCCGAGAAGGGTTAAGTGTAAGAGTCACATAACATTTTCACCACCACCAGCAGTAGGCCCCCACAATCAGTTCAAAACAATGTAGGTCACATTTTTCTGGCATTTAATATCCGTTATTTTTTTTTCTAGCTATTTCTGCAGGTGCATTACTACTTATCTGCTTGATTGGTGTCACATTATGCAAAATAAAACACAGGGGACGGTAAGTTCAAATGCACACTTGACCAAAATGCACAAAATGTTTGGGCTTCTTGCCTGAAACCAAATACAGCACTATTGCACTGTAGTTGCACAAGTTATGTGAAATGAATACTGCAATGTGATAACTGCAATAAAGTATCTTGTGTTATACAGAAGGAAGCCCTTTCTGTTAAGACTTAAAAGATACTAAACTCTTAGCTTATTTTATTGAGTAATGTTTATTCAGATGGTACATTGTAAAAAATCTAGAGAATAGAAAGAAACAAACAACAATCCCAGTGGGAACAACTACAGATATTTTGGTATATTTCTATCTGATCTTTTTCTTACATTCTCTTTTTAAACTGAAATTTTGGCATTATCACCTCCTTTTTTTGCATTTAGACTAAAGTTAATATTTTTCATGTCTTTAAATTATGTTTTCTTTTCAGTTGCTTAATAGCATATTATTCTATTGCATGTATTGTGGAAATTTTAAGTTTAATTTTAAGTTACTTTAATTTTAAGTTAAATTTTAAGTTACTTGCACATTTATTTTGATAATGTATAAAGATGTAAGAAACACCTTTGAAAACCTTTTCCATATCCACTTATTTCCTTAGGATAGACTTCTAGAATTACTAAGGGTAAGTGTATGAGCATTTAATATGCTTAATAAACATTGCCAAGTGACTTTCCAGAAAGTTTGTTCTGACTTGAGAATATATCACATAATTAATGTACCTGGATATGTTATATTTCTCAACCCCGTTTTCTGCTTCATTGATTAGTCTTCCATCACAAATCACTTTGTGTTTAATTTGTATAGCTTTAGAATATTATATTATATTAATAATATCTGGCAAGGTAGGAAGCCCCACTATAAGTTTTTGAAATTTTTCTCTCTATTCTCTTCTTTTTGTTCCTATAGGTGATTTTTAGAATCATTTGTAATTTTCTAAAATCAAACATACCATGATTGCATTTAAGTGGATAGATTAATTTCTGAGAAATTGGCATCTTTTCTGTAATGTCTTCTCATTCAGAAACATTCTAGGTCTTTCCATTTGTTCAAGTAATCTTTTCTCTCACTCAGTTGTTGTTTTCATGATTACTTAAATATATTACTAGGTTTCTATGTTTTGTTCTCTTATCCAGAAGTTAGACATACTTTTACATTTTATTTTAATTATTTTTAACATCTGCATCTATCAGAGATTTATTTTGTGGTATGGTGGTCGAAGTATCCCAACTGGCACTTTTTTTAATATAGTCAATTTTCTCAGACACTATTTTGAGTAAACCATCTCTTCACCATTGGTTTGTAGTTTTCTTTAACAGATGAAGTGTACCTTTTTTTTTTTTTGAGACAGAGTCTCACTCTGTTGCCCAGGCTAGAGTGCCGTGGCATCAGCCTAGCTCACAGCAACCTCAAACTCCTAGGCGCAAGCGATCCTACTGCCTCAGCCTCTCGAGTAGCTGGGACTACAGGCATGTGCCACCATACCCGGCTAATTTTTTCTATATGTATATTTTTAGTTGTCCAGATCATTTCTTTCTATTTTTTAGTAGAGATGGGGTCTCGCTGTTGCTCAGGCTGGTCTCGAACTCCTGACCTTGAGCGATCCACCTGCCTCGGCCTTCCAAAGTGCTAGGATTACAGGCGTGAGCCACCACGCCCGGCCAAAGTGCACCTTTTTAATTCTTATATGAACTGTGGATTATGTCAGAGATATCTGACACAGATGTGGAAGATAGATTATGTTCCACTGATCTGTCGCTATGAACCAACACTACTCTATTAATAATCAGAGCTTTATAATAGTTTTTCTGAGCTAGTTCAATCTTCTCCTTCTTCAAACTATTTTGAAATTTTCTTCTATTCATTTCTGCAGATAGACTATAGAATTATTTGCACCATAACCACACCCCCACCCACAGAAAAAAAACAAATAAAATGTTAGGATTTTGAAGGAAGTGCCTTAAACCTGTATATTTATGTGGGAAGAATTGACTTCTTCAAAATGTCACCGTTTCCTTCCAGAAACATAGATGATGGATTTGGGTGCTTTTTCTATATCTCTCAGTTAAAATTTAATATTAATAGTTTACCTCATATAAACTACATTAATATTTAAGTAACTTGTTTTTATTGACTTTGTAAACAGAATCATTTTCTGCTATGTCCAATAATTAATTTCAAATTATATATAGGAAAGCTTATCTTTATCTAGTTATTAATTTTAATAGTTTTTCAGTGAGTTACCAAATGATCTAAGTATAGAACTATATTTTCTACCAATTATTATTGTCACATTATGTCCACTGACTGTACCTTGTCATTTACTTCTTTTTGTCTTATAACCAGAATTTCAAGTAAAATATTCAGTAATAGTAGGGAATACTGGCATATTTTCCCCTGAATTTCTAATGTAAAGCCTTTTGTGTTTTATCACTAAAAATGATGCTGGATGCTTTTGTGTTTTTTTCTTTTTTATGTTACAGAAAGAAGTATATTTCTATTCCTACTCACAAAAGTTGGGGTTTTTTCCTTATGAAATCACTAGAAATTTTACCTTGTTTCCCTTTTTTAATCTTTTCTATCACTATAAATTTTTTTTTCTTTTTTTTTTTATTTCAGCATATTATGAGGGTACAGATGTTTAGGTTATGTATGTTGCCCTTGCCTCCCCACTCCCCGCCAAGTCCGAGTTTCAAGTGTGCCCATCCCTTGGATGGTGCACATTGCACTCTTTGTGTATGCAAATACCCGTCCCCTCCTCCCCCCTCCTCCCTGCCCGACATCCAATAGATGTTATTCTTATATGTGCACTTATGTGTTGATCAGTTAATACCAATTTGATGGTGAGTACATGTGGTGCTTGTTTTTCCATTCTTGGGATACTTCACTTAGTAGAATGCGTTCCAACTCTATCCAGGAGTATACAAGAGGTGCTATATTGCCATTGTTTCTTAAAGCTGAATAGTACTCCACGGTATACATATACCACATTTTATTAATCCACTCATGTATTGATGGACACTTGGATTGTTTCCACATCTTTGCAATTGTCTATCACTATAAATTTTTTATAATTATATCTTTTTAAAATACAAAAGTAAATATGCTTGTAACAAATTAAATCATTTTTAAAGAAACTGAACAGTCTCTTTCACTGCATGACCACTAGTACCTTCAAAGCCCAACATGTTAAGTTAATGAATATCAGCAATTTGCTGTAGACACTTCCATATGTTGCTCTATCTAGCATTATACATGTATGGCTTTTTAAGAATTTGACCAGTAATGTTAGAGAAATAGAAGTGATATGAAAAGAGATAATGACCGTGTTCATTCATTCTTTTTCATACAACTACTGAGTGCCTACTGTGTTTTAGCCCTACACAAAGCCTAGTAGGATGTGGGCTCTGTCATCAAGGAGGTCACAGCCTGGTAGAGGATGACGAGCATGTAAAGAAACTAGTACCGCAAAATAATGTTACCATAGGGGATTATATGATACTTGGCAGGGACACAAACAAATGGTCAGTACTTGGGAGTTTTGATCAGAAAATGTTCCGTAGTGGAGGAATTATTTCAGGTGAGCCTCAAGAGAATGTAGACAAGGAGAGAAAAGTATTCCAGATAGAAGGAGAGATTTGAGTAAAGGCTCAGAAGCTTGGCTTTCCACCATGTGTCGTGAGAACTACATAACCAAATTGACATGGCTGGGAAATAGTGAGTGTGTGTGACAGTGACTGAAGCAAACAAAGGTGACATAGGTTTAGGTGGATGCATGGCATGAAAAATCCTGACACATACATCCCACGCAAACTACAGAATACTGATATGTGCAAAGTATACATCTTTACAAAGGGTATCATCAGGTGTCAGCCTGGGAATGTTTTGTGTGCATAGGTTCTTGAGTCTCCATGTGTGCTAGTGTCACAGAAGATGATCAGGTGAAGTCTTGCCAAGTCTCAGTAACTTCAAGTAGGGGATGACCAAGTCATGCAACCTCAAACATGTCACCCCAAAACTCCAGCAAAATGACTTTAGCATGCCAAGTCACCTGGACCTATCATTTACCATACCACCAGTGCTGCCTGATGCCACGGTTCATAGTTGCATAATGCCAAGTCTAGGCATCAGACATGAAGAAATTGCATTGAAACTTCATACTGATGGCATCTAGGAACCTGAGCAGCTTGTTCTAGGCCTGGGAGAGCCACTCTACAATTGGGATGTACTTAGACCGTAGCATTTACCAGAATGTGTGCTACACAGTCCTGGCTTTGTGAATGACTTCAGGAGAAATGGTGTTCTACGGCCAAGGAAGATTGGGAAATATTGCATACTATATATTTTTCTTGTAGAGATTCGCAATGGCCATGACAATATTTAAGATCTAGCAACAAAGAAACCTGTTTCGTTTTTAACAAGAATTTTCCAAACTTAATTGGACCTCAGAACTCTTTTTGTCATATAATGCTTTTAACATCACATGGAACTGATGTTCTGTTTAGCAGACACTGGGGAAATCTAGAAGGGTCTTTAGGAGCTAGGTCATCAAAAGCCTTGCATGCCAGGACAAGAAGCTGGAGTTTATCCTATAAGATCTTAAGCAAGGAAATAAGGTTCAGATTTGCCTTTAAAAAAAAAAAAGGATAAGGTTGTGGTCCCCAGGACTTGGTGACTTGGTGGATATGGTGAGAAGGAGGCACATAGAATGGCTGACATGAAGGTGACCAAGTGGACGCAGTGCTTCATTTTCACTAAAAGAGGAGAGGGGCCAGTTTGAGGGGAAAGATGATGAGTTCAGTTCTAACCGTGATATAGAACTTGATAGAAGGGCTGGGACTCAGGTGAGTGACACTGAAATCAAAATGGAAGGCTTGGGACCAAAAAGAACAGGTAATAGGTAAAAATCGAGATGAGAACAGACCTTAGAGGTATGGTAATGCCTCTGAGGGTAAGATGCAGAGGGAGAGGGAAAACCAGGAGAGAGTCGTTTTCATGGGATTCAAGAGAGAAAACGGTCTCACAAAAAAAAAAAAAAAAAAAAGTAGGGATGTCATTTGCACAACTTTCCTCACAGGAAGTTAGAAGATAATTTTAGCCAAGAGTAATTTGAAATTTGAATAAATAGAAAATGTGGTCTCTATCTCTTTCCTTCGTGCTACTAAATTTGCTATCAAAGCATTGCACATGTAGGAAAATTTGCAAATTTGGGGAATGCCTACAACCTCAAATAATTCATAATATTCTAGTATTATTGTTTATTAACACAATTATATCATTCACTATATTTAAGTGCCTCAATTGAAAGGAAACAAATGCATCCGTTAAACTGAATTCCTGTGTCACTCATTTTATTTCCATTTTCTAACCTACCTCAATGTATTTTCTGATAAATCATATAGACATTTAAGCTGCTTTAAATACTTTTTGCAAATGAGATGAGTAATCATTTTTAAATGAATGTCCAGTGACAAAATTAAATGTTTAAAAAAGTCACCCACACATTTGAAAGAGACCATGCTATTCTTCTCTAGTCACCTAACATATTTTAACAAAGCCTAAATTTCACATGGACCTAAAAATTACCATTTTATAATACTCGTATTGTATCTTCTATATTCTGACCTTTTAAATACGGTAGTGAGTGGCATGTTGTCGGTGCCCTTAGCGGTAATCTTTCTTCCCGGGTGATTTTGTAATACTTTATTTCAGAGCTCTACGTGGTAGATTATCACATTTTATTGTCATTCAGTAATTCTGGCAAAGTGGTTTTAGAAATTCAGTGAAATATGTGTGCTTTCAAAGAGCGAAAGTGAAAACATTCTCTTGAAAATTGTTTAAAGCTTTTAGTGCTGTGTGACCTGGAAAGGATTTTGAATTAAACCTAAAATATAAAGATTTTCTTTTAAGTTGGACTGGAAGATTGTGTCCCGAAAGGGTAAAGTTATGATCATATTCTAAAATAAAACTACTTTTTGATTTTTTTTTCTTCGATTTGAGATTTGTAGTTGTTAGTCATAACAAGTTGTGGATCTGGGGTAAAGCTGCCTCGTGTCAGCTTCTGACTTGTAAGCTTACAAGCCTAGCGAGTTATCGATTTTATGTGCCTTTCCAAAAAATGGGGCTATAGTGTTTACACTTCATAGGATACTAAATGAAATCATCCATGAAAAATACTTACTATGTGTTGGGAATTATGGAAGGCAAAGAATGGTTACATCTTTATGGTAATCATGTTCAATGAGTAAAGATTTTATTTTTTTCTTCCTTCTTCTGTTTAGCAATTATTATACAAACAAAAGCCCTCAAGAAGAAGCTGTCCATGTAGAAGCACGACAAGTATATTCTATTGATCCATACAACCCAGCAAGCTAATCAGAGGACAAACTGGTATCTAATGAAATTGAAATATTCTTATTAATGTATATGTCAAAATTTCCTTCAACTTATACTTATCAATAACCGTAGTACTCAGGATCTATGGTTCTGACTATGGCACGAGTCTTCAATAATAATACACAGCACTTGTTAACTTACCTCCTTCATATTGCCAACTAATGTTCCTGGTGTGTGGTTTTTTAAAAATTCATTCATCCATTCAACAAATATTAAACTAAATAACAAAACAACTAAGAATAACATAATAAGATGATAAGCATTACAAAAAGAAATAAAGGAGGCAAGGGAATAGAGAGAACAGGGTGGTTGCAAGGAAGTCCTCACCAAGAAAATGGCATTTGAGCAAAGACTCAAGGGAAGTAAGGAATTAGCCATGGGGCCATGCGGGGGAGGGGCATTCCAGGAGGGGAGAGCAGTAGGTGCAAAGGCTGTAAGATGGTGTGTGTCAGTTGTGTTGGAGGCACAGCAAGGAGGCCCGTGTGGCCTACAGTGGTAGAGATGAGATCAGAGAGAAGGAGGTGGGGTAGGGAGAGGATGATCCTACAGAGCATGCCTGGTCATTGTAATGAGCTTGGTTTTATTCTGAGATGGGAACCATTGGAGGGTTTTAAGCAGAGGACACAATCCCCTTAACTGCTGTGTTGAGAACAGACTATAGGAAGTCAAGGGTGGAAGATGGCATCAGTGAGGAGGCTACTGCAATGGTCCAGGCAGGACATTGTGAGTGGCTACCACCAGGCTGGTGAAAGGAGGTCACATGACACATGTGTTCTTAAACTAGTGACAGTAGGATTTGCTGACAGTTTGTATCAGAATATGAGAGGCAAAGAGAGTCATCAGTGGTGATTCCAGAGCTTTTTGGCCCAAGCAATTGGAACGGTAGAATTAGCATTAATTAAGATGATTGAGAATGTGAAGAGTAGGATTGGGGAGAAAAATCAGGATTTCCTCCTTGGAGATGTTAAGTGTGAGATGTCTAATAGAAGGGACGAGAAGACATTCTGTGTTTCAGGCAATAGGTCCAGGCTGGATACAAATGAGGGCCTTGTGATTGTGTGGATGTATGTAGCAAGGGGACCGAATAAGACCAGCGAGGGGTGAAAGGGGCAAAGGGAAGAGAAAAGTTCCAAGCACTGAGCCTCGGCTCCTCCAGCGTTAGGAGCCGTGGAGCGAGAAGGGAGCAACAAAGGAGTGAAGAAGCAGCCTCTGGTACAGGAGACAAACCTCAAAGTCAGGTGAAGAAGGAATTTTAGGGAGGATCAACTCTGTCAAGAGCTGCTGGTAGGTCAAGAAAGATGAGTCGTGAAAACTGACCATAGGATTTAGCAGCGCAAAATTCGTTGGTGAACTTGATGCAACAGTTTTGACTGGAGTGAGCTTAAGAGAGAATGAAAGCAGAGAAATTGCAAGTATCGACTACAGACAACTATTTCGAGGAGTTTTTCTATGAAGAGGAGCAGAAAAGTAGAGTGATAGCAAGAGTAAAATGCGAAGTCAATGGAAATATTTTTCAAGAATGGAGAAACAGCAGCTATGTCTATTCTCAAAATTGATGGGAATGACCTAGTGGAAGGGGAAGATGGCGGGAGGGAGCAAGGTCTGGGTGAGCCGGAAGGGGCAGGGTCTATTGCTTAAGCAGAGGGGCTGCCCTGAGACAGGGGCGTGCGCTGAGTCATGGGAGGGACGGTGCAGCTGAGGGCAGGCGGGAGCAGGGACGCGAGTGCACGGGGAATCTCTCTTCTTGAGGATTCTGTTTTCTCAGTGAGTGGAAAGCAAATTGATCAGCTGGGAGTGAACCGGGGCAAGGAGATGTTAGAAAGCCAAGGAGGAAGGAGAAGGCATTAAATAGTGACCGGAGGGTTGAATACCGAATGACCGGCAACACAGGAAGGTGGACAGGCAACGTGAGGGGTCTAGGTGGGGTTCCCAGAGAAAATTGGGGGTAACATTTTAGAAGTACTCTGCCCAGGCATTATGCTATGGGTCTTTTATGCCTTTTTGCATTTAGCCCTCACTGCCACTTTGAAAGGTGGGTACTACCCTAAGATAATACAAAGATGAGGAAATAATATCCAAGATAAGAAAACCAAGGCTGAAAGATTCACTCTTGGCCAAGGTCTTGGGCCCAGTCATTGGCAAAGGTAAAATTCAAACTAAAATCTGACTTCAAACTGCTTTCTCCTACATAGTCTATAAAATATAAGAAGGATACCAACTCTGCCCTCTTGTAACTTATTTTAGTAAGACAAACAAGGCTTCTACGTACCATAGTGTAAGAATAAGTACCATAAACAAGCTACAGAAAAGCTATTGTGGCAGTTGAGGAAGAAAAGGTTACTTGCCGCTGGTGAGTTGCAGAAAAAGGGAAGAGGAGAAGGGAGAGAGGATCCTGCCAGTGACCTCCAAATCCAGACCAGTCAGGGTCTAGAGTGAAGCTATTACACAAGTATTTGTTGAATGAATATGTGAATGAGAATGAGAATCTTGCTTCCATTTCTCCCTCAGTTTTATTCATATTTATCAATTCATCAATCACTTTTAACTATATATGTATGAAATGTAGTTATTATTTATTCCAGGTCATGTTTTCTGAAGAAGGATCTCTTAAAAGAATAATATTCATCAATAGCCTTGATGCTTTATTGGTCATAACAACTATGATTGGTAGATGGAGAGAATGTTAACATTCTTATCTGAACTTGGAGTCGCATCACTGATATTTATGCTGCCTCCTAAACAGAAATGATCGATTTCACTGTGCCTCATTGCTTGAAATCCAGCTAAACATTGATGGCAAAGAAACCACGCTTGTATCAGCAAGTCTCTCTGTGTGGTCTCAAGATCAATGAAACGATTTCATAAGCTATCACTTCCTATATGCACTTATTGTCAAGAAGAACATCTTTGTGGTAAAGATGGGAGCCCAGTTTCACTGCCGTGTGCTCGTCAATGACTTTTCCGAAGCGTCACTTATGATGTGCCTGAAGCCAGGTTGTGGCCATAAACAATTACACGGCTCTGAAAGTGTTGCCTTTTTGAGAAAGCCACCAAAAAGAGCTTTCTCGTGTCTAGATCCATCTCCTTTCTGTGAACAGCATACTCAATGTTACCATATGCTTTGGGTTATAATGTGGTTTTAATTATTTAAACAAAGTATAAGCATTTCCCATGGTTCTGAGGGGTATACCTTTTTATTTGGGTGTCTAGTTTTATTTTAATAGTAGCTTGCTTCCTTGATATCAGTAAACATTTCACTTCCATCCCCACTTGGATTGAGATTTTTGCACAATGCTGTGATAATTTGCCTTTCCATAATCACTCAGTGATTCCAATTTGCACAAGTTTTTTGAAATTATGGGAGTCAAGTTTTAATTCCAAAGATTTTGTGTACGATTCAAGTTCTGGATAAGCTCTTTGCCATAAGCAGTTTTGTCATAAGCTCTAGTTGTTTATAACATGTCATTTAATGACGTGTACATTAGCCGTTCAAATAAATTGTATGTATAAAAAAATTTGCCTCATATGATTTTTTTTTTTTGCATGGAGTAAATGGTCAATGAACTCTTGAGTAACAGACATAGTCTCAGGGGTTTTAGAGTTCATGATTTAATCATTATTCATTGTGGATCCCGCCTCTTGGTCATTTTAGCCAGACTCTCAACCCACAATTCTGATTCCCTCACCCTCAAGACTTTCTCCTATATTTGTTCAGCCAACACCTTCACCTTGCCCACTCATCCTCTCCCACCACACCCTAGATCTAGCTGTGAATTTTCTCTGTCCCTGCCTTTAAACTATTGAGAAAATAAATCCTTGCTCACTGGTGACCACAAATTTACTCTCTCTACCTTCCCCTAGACTAGGTATGTTGTTCAGCATCTTTTTATGTTTTCTGAATTGTGGTAGAAAAAAACAGGTAACATAAAATTTACCATCTTAACCATTTGTAAGTGCATAGTCCAGTAGGGTTAAGTATATCCACACTGTTGTACAAGAGAGCTCCAGAATTTGTAAAACTTGTAAAACTGAGACTTTACATCCATTAAACAATAACTCTGCATTTCCCCCTTCTCCCAGCCTCTGGCGACCACCATCTTAGTTTCTGCCTCTATGAATTTGACTACTCTTAGAATCTCATGTAAGTGGGATCATACAGTATTTGTCTTTTTGTGACAGGCTTATTTCATTCAGCATGATGTCCTCAAGGTTCCCATTGGTTGTAGCATGTGTGAGAGTTTCTTTCCTTTTTAAGGCTGAGTAATATTTCATTGCATGTATATACTAAGTTTTGTTTATTCATTTATTGGTTGATGGACATTTGGGTTGTTTCCACTTCTTGGCTGTTGTGAATAATGGTGCTACAAACATGGGTGTGCAAACGTTGCTTTCAGTTCTTTTGGATCCATACCCAGAAGTGGGCTGCATCTTTTATTCATTCACAGTCAGTACCATTTTCATCTCTCCATATCATCTGTTCACTCCCCTCAAACCATCTGCTCTATTCTACCTTCATCCCTCCTTCCTTCTCTTAGAGGATGATGAAAACATCCCAGGGTCATTCTCTCAACCTGTCCCTCCACCTCCAAGCTTATCTGCATCCACTCTCCCTTACCCTCCCTTCCATCTACCACTTTTCATAGACTTTCTCTTTCTCTCCTCATCCCTTTCTGCCACTTCCAGGGCATGGTTCCATGAGTATCTCCCACCACCAACTCCTCCTTTCCACCGACAAACTTCCTCCAGCCAGGTATGCCTGCAAGTGGCAGCAATCCGTCTCATACTGGCTTAAACCAAAAACAAATTGTATTATATCACATGACAGAAAAGACCCAGCATTTCGTTGACTTCTGTCAAAACAGGAATTAAATATTCAAATCATATCTTCAGGAATCTATCATATCTCCTGGTTCTGCTTTCCCTTGCTGGCTTCATGCTCTGACAGAAACCGAAAAATTGGCAAAATAGTTGCTGACTGTGCCGAGTGCCCATCCTGTCAACTTAGCATTCCAATGTAGAGTTTCCCTTGTCCAATAACTCCCTCATATGCCCTTTCAATAGCTCTTATTTGTCCAAATAGGGTCACATGCCCCCAAATAAACCAATTACTAGGGCCAGGGCAGTGAAACAAGCAGATGACAAGGCCTGAGTTGCCTGCCCAGCCTTGGAGTGGCTCTCAAGTGGGATGATTTTGCCCCCCAGAGGACGTTTGGCAGTGTCTGGAGACAATTTTTGGTTGCTACAACTGGAGGAGGGAAGTGTTGTTGGCATCTAGTGGGGAGAGGCCAGAGATACTGCTAAACATCCAACAATGCACAGGACAGCTCCCACAACAAAGAATTATCTGGTCCACAATGTCAATAGTATCAAAGTTGAGAAACTATAGTCTACCTGAACCTCACAGGGCCAGGGGAAAGAGAGGATTTCTCAATGGAAAATCTGGGGGCAAACTGCAGAAGAAGGAACTCGTTTAAAGCAACAGATGTACACCATACCCTCCACTTGAAAACAAATCCTCCCCCAAATCATCCACGCTCCTTTTTTAAACCGTCCCTCTTCTCTTTACCACCAAACTTTCTGAAAGAGTAGTTGACCTTAGCTATCTCAGTGATTACAGTCATTCATTGAATAAATAATTACAGAAATCCTATTGTGTGCTAAGTACTATTTTAGGTCATAGAATCTAGCAGGGATAGACTGCCCTGTCCTCATACAGCTTTTATTCTAGTCGGGGGAACACGGAATAAGCACATTAGCAGAGAGTAATAATCTTCTCCTCTTCCTTTTTCCTCAGCTCACTACAATCTGGCTTCTTCTCCCATTAGTCTGTTGAAAATAACTTGAAAGGACAATATCAGTTCCCTGAAAGAATGGCATTGGATGTATTAAAAAGGATGTGTGATACGTGATATGATCAAAGTAGATATTTCTTGCAAAGAGGTCTTGGGAGAGAGCCTAATGGAAACCGATGAAAAATAAGAAACATACCTAGCCTTGGAACACTTTACTGTCTCTCGACTGCTGAGGGGGAGCTGAGACTTGAGTAAGAGGGACAGATGAAGTAAGGCAGTATTCTGGCATGTTTGTGTGGGCTAAGACTATCCATGCTGAGTGTATATGATTTTTGGACCACGCGTATGTGTCTCCGTTACTGAAGCTGCACTCACTAGAGAATAGCTTTCTGCTTTAAGCATCTTGACTTCACATGAATCACAGTTATACATGGAGGAGAAAAGAACTAACACATTTACTAAAATATCTGCTACAATATCTTTTCAACCTTCACCCTACTTCCATTTGATATTTGGAATTACTCACTCTCCACACTATTCATTCCAACTCTAGCATTAGAAAAAACTGACTCTTGTTTCTTTCTAGCAAGCCATAAGTCCAGGGTTTTGTCTAAGGACCCACAGATCTCCAAAGGTCCATGACTAGAACTCTATGTCTATATAATTGGCTTTCTTTATAACCTGGTGTGCTTTATTTTATGTATTAAAAAAAAAAAACAGCTCTCAGAAAGGATTCATAAGATTGACCAGCCAGGCAAAGGGATATACCTGACACACAAAGATGTTAATAAGCCCTGCATGGATATGATTCATATATTTCCATTTTGATCTTCCTTTTGTTTATTCTATACATTCTTGCTTGACAGTCTCATCAATTCCTGTGATTCTGGCCATCTCCCATCCATTCCCTTTTTTAAAAGTCCTCTTCTTGTGCCTTTCTGGAAGTTCAGAGTCGTAAACAACAAATTACCCATACTCCCAACCTTTTCCTTAGCATTCCCACACCTCCTGGCCTTCACAAAACCCCATCTGTCCCATGGCCAAGTCTTTCCCCAGTTTAAAACAACAACAACAAAACACCTTTGATGCTCTCCCTCGATGGAGTGACCCCTTGCCCCGTTAGCTTCCTGTTGCTACTGTAACAATTTACTTTGTGGCATAAAACAACACAAATTTATTCTTCTATATTCCAGAGATCAGAAGTCCAAAATGAGCCTTACAGGGCTAAAACCAAGGTGTTGGCAGTACTGGTTCTGCTATAGTAGAGAATATATTTCTTACCTCTACCAGCTTCTAGAGGCAGCTGGCATTCCTTGGCTCATGGCAGCAACACTCTTATCTCTGCTTTTCTCACCACCTTCTGAGCTACTGCCTTCCTCTTATAAGGATCCCTGTGATTATATCAGGCACACCTGGCTAATCGAGGCTATTCTCTCCCTACCTCAATATCCTTAATTGAATCCATCTGCAAAGTCCCTTTTGCCATATAAGGTAACACTCACAGGTTCTGGGGATTTCTATGTGAACATCGTTGGGGGGGGGGACATTAGTCAGCGTACCACATGCCTCCATTTCTCTCATTCTTTATTATTATTATTTTTTAAATTGGCACATAATAATTGTACATATTTATGGAGTACAGCAAATGAAACAACAGAGCGATGAGAAAAACCTACAGAATGGGGGAAAATATTTGCAAACTATACATCTGACAAAGGTTAATATTCAGAATATATAAGGAACTCAAACAACTCAATAGCAAAAAGACAAATAATCTGATTTTAAAATGGGCAAAAAATCCAAATAGATAATTTTCAAAAGAAGACATACAAATGGCTAACAGGTATATGAAAAAAGGTCAATATCCCTAATTATTAGGGAGATACAAATCAAAACCACAATAAGATATCACCTCACTCCAGTTAGAATAATTATTAACAAAAATACAAGAGATAACAGATGCTGGCAGGGATATGAAGAAAGGGGAATTCTTATACACCATCAGTGGGAACCCGAATTAGTACAGCCACTGTGAAAAACAGTATAGAGGTTTCTCAAAAAATTGAAAATAGAACTATCATATGATCCAGCAATCCCACTACTGGGTATATACCCAAAAGAAATGAAATCACTATGTCAAAGAGATATATACACTCGCACGCTTATTGAAGAACAACAATAGCCGAGATATGGAATTAACCCAAGTGTCCACCAATGGATAGATGGATAAAGAAAATGTGGTGTATATACACAATGGAATACTATTCAGCCATAAAAAGAACAAAATCCTGTCATTTGTGGCAACATGTATGAACATGGAGGACGTTATATTAAGTGAAGTGAGCCAGGCACAGAAAGCCAAACACATAACTCGTAGGTGGAATCTACAAAAGCTGGTCTCGTAGGAGTAGAGAGTAGGATAGTGGTGCCCAGAGGCTGGGACGGGGTAGAGAGGGGGGAGAGATTGTTAAAAGGGTACAGAGTCAGAGGTAGACAGGAGGAATGAGTTTATCCTTGAATTCTTAATCCCCTCCCCGAAGTTTGTCACTCCTTCATATTTCTTGTTTCAATAAGTAGCGCCACCATTCATTTCTAATCCTGGGGCTAACTCTTGATTCCTTTCTTTTTTTCACCACCAACTTTAAGAAAGGAAGTAACCAAATCCAATGCACAAGCAAATACCGTTTCATCTCCAGTATCTTTGTTAATTGCCCACTTTATCAACCCAGGCAGGGCCGCCATCAAACGTCACTTGGATGGTGGCAAGAGCTTCCTTGCTGGACTTCCCCATCTATTATTGTCCCAATCTAATCTATTAATAGTCTCCTTACTACACACAGAATTATATCTTTAAAATGTAGATCCGATTGTCACTCCCTTTAAAAAAATCTTTCAATAGCGTGGCATATCTCAATTCGAGTTGGTTCTTCATGTTCCCTGCACACACCGCCTGCAATTGTCCTTCAACACAGAGAGCAAGCACTTTGTCAGCTATCCACCCACACGCATTCTTGCAACGGGTAAAAAAGTCACGCAGGGGTGTGCGGACGCCGAGCTGCGATGATCCACCGCCGGTGTCTGGAAGCGCAGGTCCTGCTCGCACTGGCGCGCGGAATCCATCAGGCGGCTGAAGCATTGTCCTCTTTTGCTGCGGTACCGGGGTCCCGAAGGTGGGTTCTGGGAGCGCAACTCCTTAGAAACAACGCAAATGGGGAGTAAACAAGACTTCGCCCACGAAGGGGAAGCTGTGGTCAAAAGCCTTCTGTCCCGGAACCCCGGAACCCCGCAGCCCTCCCCAGACTCAGGGCGCGGAGCCCAACGATTGGTCTCTCTTCTCTTCGCTGCGCTTTTCTCCTTACAGCGTTTTTCCTCCAGGTCATATCTGGTCTCTAGATGTGCTTGGGAGGATGCCGGAGCCTGCCGGGCCGCCGGCGACCCTTCTGCGCTTCTGCTGCCGAGGAGCCCGGCTGGCGGTTCTGGTGCTGCTCGCGCTGCCGGCGGCCTGGGGTGAGACGCGCGGCGGGCGTGGGGAGGCGCCGGGCGGGCGCGGCAGCCGGGGCTCCGCGGGGGGACGCGCGCGCCCGGGTGCACGGGCATTGCGGCAGGTGGGCTAAGCGTGCGCGGAGGCAGAGCGGCTCCGGGGTCCCTCTGGGTACCGCAGACCCTCGCCGCCTCTGGGTAAGCGTGGAGTTCCCATCGGCAGGGGTTTATGTCGTGCCCAGCGCAGAGCAGCGCACACGCGCTAAACGGGCGCAGCAGGAATTCCTTGCCTTTGTCTGGACTGGCTGTGGCGGAGCGTGGCACCGATCTCAGTGAAAGAGAGAGGGTTGGAGAATCCGACAGACCTGGGTTCTAATCCCAGAAACTTAACCGAGAGGAAAGTTAATACATCCGTCTGAGTCTCTTTCCTCATCTGTAAACTAGGGACTGATACCTGTATATCACGGTGTTGCTACCTAACTGGCGTATAGCGTGTCTAGTGCCAAACACAGTACCTGTGGCCGAATCAGTTTCTATCCTCCAACCATTACCTCTGTGCCTGGCTCCCAAGGGTGGCTAAACGAGCGATCCTAGAGATGCAATTCTCACCTGAAAGCTGCTCTGCATCCCAATGATCTCACCCCTTACCCCAAAACATCGCCGCCATCATCACCACGCACTGAATTGAGAGTCTACTTTAAGACAGATTTCAGGCCAGGAACTTGGGGGTTAGAAGAGCAAGTGAAGCTCAGGAACGCTCAGTGCAACCAGTTGCAGGTAGAGGGGACAGGAAAGGCGTTTACATTTGACAGTTTAGTGATAAGTTCTGTACAAAATAAAGCCTATTTTAATTATATGGAAATTTTGAGGCCGCTTTTTCTTTTCCTCTCTCGTAATGTCAAATAGGTAAACATCTTTTATTAGAACACTTAGTTTTGGCCTCCCCAGAGGTCTTCCTGGTTGCTTAGACTCCTTAGCAACATCTCAGTTGAAGCGACAGTCTTGATTATTTTTGTCCAGCCTTTTCCTGACATCTCAGGGTTTGCTCTTCTCTGTCACTAGACATTTTGCATTTATTCTTTGATTGTTCCTCTCTTCTAAGAGAGTAAGGAAAAAAGAAAACCAAGTTTCCACAAAAGTCATTCATATTTTATCTCCTTAGACATCAGAAAGTAACCTGTCAGGTGAAGAGATGTGATAAAATTTAAAATTTTATATTTAGAAGAGAAGTGTGCCAAGTAAGTTAAGCAATCTGTTGTCAATATTTAGGTATTTTTGTCATTCTTTCAGGTATCTGGCCCCCTTCTTACTGGTATGTTGTTATAGTTTGCCTATGTTTATTAAGTTACTATTATAAACAAACTCAGACACTATTAATTGCAAAAAAAAATATCCATTGAGGTTATCACAATAACCTCCAAATATGAAACATCCTAAACTAAACTGTCTAGCAATTTAGTTGCTGAAGTAATTTAAATTTCAAAAATACTGCTAGAATGCCTCTCGTGTGCACCATACTCTGGAATTTAAAAGAAGTATAAGAGTGAGCTGTGCCTCCAAAGTGTGTGCATACAGAAGTAGGTGGTGGGGTTTTATGAAGTCTTCATTAGGAGACTTGGGTTCTGATTTTCCCACCCTCTGCTGTTTACTGGCTGGAGTCTTGGACCCAGCAAGTCAACTCACACCCCTGACCCTCAGTGTCCACTTGTATAAAATGAACATAATTGACACTCTGCTCTCTGAGAGGGTTATTGTGAAAACCAGATGTGCACGTGATAGTGTTTTGTAATCTGAAAAACCCCACGCATACCTAAGAAAGCTTGACTAAGGAGTCATGCAAGACTACAGGATCACTGAAAAGGGAGAAGTCTTAGCTCTAAGGATCAGAAAAGGCTGAGTGGAAGGAGCATGGCTTTAGCAGTACTTAAAGAGTGAATCCCAAAACAAGTTATATAATTTGATTCATGGGGATATTTATTTTTATATAAAAAACCAGCAGAGAAATTAACATTATTTTGTTATTATAAGGTACTTGCCGTACCCATGAAGTGGAACAGTGTTATTTGAAAGAGCACTTGGATTCGTTGTAAATATATATATTTGTGTGTGTGTGTGTGTGTGTGTGTGTGCATTTCAAACCCTAGGACAATCCCTGAAAAAAGTACCAAAAGAAATATAACTGACATGCTAATAAAGAGAGAAAATGGAATTATACAAAATGTTCACTTAAAACCATAAAGGGGGAAAAAAACAATGGAAGACAAAAATTGGACCTAAGAACAAAGGCAACAAATAGAAATCAGTAAGAAATATGGTAGATATTAAATTGACTATATCAATAATCACTTTAAGCATCAGTGATCTAAATGCACCAATTAAAACACAGTGATTGTCAGAGTGGATCAAGAAATAAGACCCAGCTATATGTTGTCTCTAATAAGCCCACTTTAAATATAAAGACACACATATATTAAAAGTAAATGGCTTCTAGTACTCTGGCAGGCTAAGGTGGGAGGATCGCTGGAGGTCAGGAGTTCAAGACCAGCCTGAGCAAGAGCTAGAACCCGTCTCTACTAAACATAGAAAGAAATTAGCCGAACAACTAAAAAATATATAGAAAAAATTAGCTGGGCATGGTGGCGCATGCCTGTAGTCCCAGCTACTCGGGAGGTTGAGGCAGAAGGATCGCTTGAGCCCAGGAGTTTGAGGTTGCTGTGAGCTAGGCTGATGCCACGGCACTCTAGCCCGGGCAACAGAGTGAGACTCTGTCTCAAAATAAATAAATAAATAAATAAATGGCTTGATACAGATATACCATGCTTACACTAGTCAAAAGAAAGCAGGAATAGCTATATTAATTTCAGACAGAGCACACTTCAGACCAAGACAAGTTATCAGGGATAAAGAAGGCATTACATAATGAAAAAGGGGTCAGTTCTCCAAGAAGATATAACCATCCTTAACGTGCATGCACCTACCGAGAGTAAAAATATGTGAGGCAAAAACTGATAGATCTGCAAGGAGAAACAGATGAATCCATAGTATGGTTGGAGACTCAGCACTCCTCTATCAGAAATGGGCAGATCCCGCAGGCAGAAAATCAGTGAGGACAAAGTTGAACTCCACAGCACATCAATCAACAGGGCGTAATTGACATATATAGACTACCGCATCCAACAACAGCAGGGTACACACTCTTCCGAAGCTCACATTCAGGGAAGCAGCCCACATACTGAGGTATGAAAATAGCACACTAATTAAGTGCTTCCAGGACAGTGTTCAATATAGGGCGGACTCTGGCGCCCTCACCTGGTCTTCCTGTTGGGTCCTGTTCTGTTATCCCTACTGCGTAAAGATGCAAGGAAGAAAGAAGGGGCGTTGCAATATGCTTTCTGTGCTTGTGATCTATTTCAGTTTACATATGCTCAGAGGAGTGGATTTGTGGTTTATTATTATCTATTTTTACTTAAAATAAATTTCACATTTGGACAAGTAATTTCAAAAATGTCCTGCACAGAAATACTGGGTGAAGATATAATAATTCTAATAAGGCCAATTCCAGCAGACAAAAAGATGACAAAGTTGAAAATTTCCTCCTCCCTGACAAGGACACACACACATACATGATTTTAAAAGTTTTAAAAATGTTTAAAAATATATTTTTTATCTTTTAATTTTTAATTATAATGGGTACACAATAGTGCATATTAGTAGGGTACATGTGTTTTGATAGAGACATACAATGTCAATTAATCAAATCATGGTAATTGGGGTATCCATAACCTCAGGTATTTATCATATCTTTGTGTTAGGAACATTCCAATTCCACTCTTTTAGTTATTTTAAAGTATACCCTGACTTATTGTTAGTTATAGTCACTTTGTTGTGCTATCGAATATTGTTCATTCTATCTAGCTATCATGTTGAGGTAAGTCCTTCTATACTCAGTTTCTGGAGAGTTTTTATCATGAAGTGATGTTGAATTTTATTGAATGCTTTTTCAGCATCAATTGAAATGTCACATGGTTTTTGTCCTTGGTTCTGTTGATATGATATATCACATTGATTGATTTCCATGTGATGGGCGCCCTCCTTGCATCCCTGGGATGAATCTCACTTGATCATGATCAATAATCTTTTTAATGTATTCTTGAATTCGGTTTGCTAGTATTTTGTTGATGATTTTTGCATCTATGTTCATCAGAGCTATGGGCTTATAGTTTTCCTTTTTTTGTTGTGTCTTTGTTTGGTTTTGGTATCAGGGTGATACAGGCCTCATAGAATGAGTCTGGGAGTATTCCCTCCTCCTTGATTTTTTTGGAATAGTTTAAGTAGGATTGATATTAGTTCTTTGAATGTTTAGTAGAAGTAAGTCAGCAGTGAAGCTATCAGGTCCTGGGGTTTTCTTTGATGGGAGACTTCCTACTACTGCTTCTATCTTGTTACTTCTTATTGGTTTATTCAGATTTTGGACCAAACTTATTGGATTTCTTCCTGGTTCAATCTCACTAGGTTGTATGTGTCTGGGAATTTATTCATTTCTTCTACGTTTTCCAATTTATTGGCATATAGTTGCTCATAGTAGTCTCTAATGATCCTTTGGATTTCTGTGGTATTAGTTGCAATGTCTCTGTTTTCATCTCTGATTTTATTTGGGTTTTCTGTCTTTTTTTTGGCTTAAAGATGTGTCAATTTTGTTTATCTTTTCAAAAAACCAACTTTTTATTTTGTTGATCTTTTGTATTTTTTTGTTTCAATTTCATTTATTTTTGCTCTGATCTTTATTATTTATTTTCTTCTACTAATTTTTTGTTTGGTTCTCTCTTGTTATTCTAGTTCTTTGAGATGCATCATTAGATTATTGGAAGCTTTTCTACTTTTTTGATGTAGGCACTTACTGCTATAAACTTTCTTCTTATTATTGCTTTTGCGTATCCCATAGATTTTGATATGTAGTGTTTTCATTTTCATTTGTTTCAAGACATTTTTTAATTTCTTTCTTAATTTTTTCACTGACCCACTGGTCATTCAGGAGCATATTGTTTAATTTCCATGTGTTTGTATAGTTTCCAATGTCCTCTGTTACTGATTTCTAGTTTTGCTCCATTGTAATCAGAGAAAATCCTTGATATGATTTCAATATTTTTGAATTTTTTAAAGACTTGTTTTGTGGCCTAACATGTGATCTATCTTTGAAAATGATCCATGAGCTGAGAACGTGTATTCTGCAGCTGTTATATAAAACGTTCTATAAATAATCTGTTAGGTCCACTAAGTCTACAGTGCAGATTAAGTCCAATGTTTCATTGTTGATTTTCTGTCTGATGATCTGTCCAGTGTTGAAAGTGGAGTGTTGAGGTCTCCAATGATCACCGTATTGTGGTCTATCTCTCTCTTTAGCTCCGATAACACTTACTTTATATATCTGGGTGCTCCAGTGTTGGGTGCATAAATATTTAGAATTGTTATATCCACTTTCTGAATTTCCCCCTTTATGATTATCTAATGACCTTCTTTGTCTCTTTTTACAGTTTTTGTCTTGAAATCTATTTGAACTGATAGAAGTATAGCTACTCTTGCTCTTTTTTGGTTTCCATTTGCCTGGAATATCTTATTCCATCCCTTTATTTTCAGGCTGTGTGTGTCTTTATAGGTGAGGTGAGTTTCTTGTAGACAAAATATTATTAGGTTGTGGTTTTTTTAATCTATCCAGCCACTCTTTGTCTTTTGATTGGAGAGTTTAGTCCATTCACATTCAATACTATTATTGATACGTAAGGTCTTACTACTGCCACGTTGTCATTTGATTTCTGGTTGTTTTATGGTCCTTTATGTCTTCCTTCCTTCCTATCTTCCTTTGTTAAAGGTGATTTTCTCTGGTGGTGTGCTTTAATTTCTTGCTTTTTACTTTTTGCATACATGCTTTTTGTGAGAGTTATTAAGAGGAAGAAATGCTGTTAGTCTAATCACAATTGACCAAAAACTGACAAAATCAAAAACTCTAAAAAGTATCAAGAAGACTAGTTGAAATACAGCTTTTACATTCACTATGATTAACAGAGAAACTGACTGTGACTGTATTATGTCCCTCCAGATGTTAGTTAATGATCATACTATGTCATCATGATTAGCAAAGCATTTAAAATGTTCATTTCATCTGTATCACATTTCTTTAAATTTCTATTTACGTATATAATTTATGTAACACATTTGCATACTTATATAATTTATAACTTTATATTTTAAAAAGTGCATCATTTTTTTTTCTGATAGAGGTGCTTAAGCAAAGCATATGCAGGTTCCTTCCTCAAAGAGTACAATATGCATAATGAGCAGCAAAGTGTATTTCAGGTTGACCACTTATATTTGAACAGATACGGCAGTGATGATGTGTTAATTGTGCATATATTACAGAATAAATCAACCTTCCTTGAATGGAAGGCTTGAATCAGGAGTATACAAAAGTGGGCTGACTCATCCAAGACAAAAACTACAATGAGATATAACAATATTTACCCACTAGAATGGCTCAAATTAAAAAGACTGACCATACCAAAGGTTGGCAGTCAGGTGAAGTAACTGGAAATATAATATACTGCTAACTGGCAGCTCAGATAATAACAATCACTTTACAAAACAGTGGGCAGTTTCTTAAAAAGTTAGACACACACCTATCATATGACTCAGCATTTCATTCCTAGGTTTTTACCCAAGAGAAATGAAATCATATGTCCACGCAAAGACTTGTACATGAATTTTCATAGCAGTGTCGTTTGTAACAGGCAACAGCTGGACACAATCCAAATGTCCTTCAGCAGGTGAAGTTAACTCTACTAGACCTTAAGGGGCTTAGCTGTGTCTAGTATTCAATTTGAAATATGTATCAGAAAAATACACATTTTCATAAAGTGAAGTGTAGCTTTACTTGTTGAGCTTTGTCTGCTTTCTCCTTGCGCTGAAATGATTGATTTGGCAACAGTCCAACAGTCGTGTTCCAACAGTCGTGACGGCTACCGAGGGCCAGAGAAGAGGCTTGTCGTCCTGCTAGATCTAGGTGCACCACTGAGACCAAAGATCGATGGTAAAATGTGTGAGTGCATCTTGTTACACGAGAGAAAGACAAATGAGGGTAGGGTAGAGGAAGCCTAACCACAGGAGCTTCCTGATCAACTAAGGGAAGCTGTGAATTGGAATTTCTTCTTCAGTGAAAGACTATACAAATAGCTTAATTGCCTCCAAAATAGCAGGGACTTTTTAATAAGTGGGTGCTGATTTTTTTCTTTTAAAAACAGCTCATTTCTAAGGTACCTTATAAAGGAATAAACCCTTTGCCATTATTGAAGAGTTCCTTTTCTTTTGGTTTTTTTAAAAAATCATGTCTATGAAGAATACTGGAGAGAAAGAGGCAGTAGAGTAGAAGTTTCTCCATTAACCCTGTTTCTTTGGTCTCAATCTCCACCCAGGTCAGTGCAGTGCCCCGGCATGGCTTCCATTTGCCAAGCCTACCAAACTAACCGATGAGTCTGAGTTTCCTGTTGGGACATCTTTGAAGTATGAATGCCGCCCTGGCTATTATGGAAGACCGTTTTCTATCACCTGCCTAAAAACCTTGGTCTGGACAGATGCTAAGGACAGGTGCAGACGTAAGTAGCTCCGGACTGGGAACTCCCTTGTGTCAGTTAAATATCTGTAAGATGTCATTCAATTTGTTCAAATTTTGGACCTGCGACACATATAACAATAAGTTTGCCCAAAGAACAGTGCAGGTGAGAGCTATTCTTGTAGATCATGTCTTCTTACTGCATTGACTTCCTGGCATCTTCATTACAAGTTCATTTCATGAGAAACAACCATCACGAGGCATGACTGAGGGAAAATCCCTATTCTTTAGGGGTCTCCCATTTTCATGACTAAAATTAAGTAATGAATAACTCAGACAAGAAAGAGAAGTAGAATGGAAAACTAAGAGAGAAGACAATCTCAGGCTTTGATCTCTTTGAATTACACTGGTTGAATTACGGAGTATAACATTTTGGTGATAAATAAAGTCTACATTTTTCTGGGAGGCATAATATGATTATGAAACAGATCTGGATGGGGAGTTTTTTTGAAAGTGGTGCTTGGTAGGCAGCTGACCCTGAGGCAGTCTGGTGAGGCTTCTCAAGGTGGCAAAATCTGTCGCATCATCAGAACTGCATATGCTCTTCAGTAAGCTACAGGCAGGTTGGGACTTTATGTACCAAAAAAAGTTCGGATTACTCTACCTGGCTTCAAAATTCTGTTTCTTTCTCATAGGTAGATCATGTAACAGTCCTCCAGATCCTGCGAATGGCATGGTGCATGTGATCACAGACATCCAGTTTGGATCCACAATCAATTTTTCTTGTAATAAAGGGTGAGTTGGAAGAAACATCTCTTGGTTCAAGAATTCTAGGACAGGCTGGGTGCAGTGGCTCATGCCTGTAATCCTAGCACTCTGGAAGGCCAAGGCAGGAGGATCGCTTGAGGTCAGGAGTTCAAGACCAGCCTGAGCAAGAGCAAGACCTCATCTCTACTAAAAATAGAAAAAAAATTAGCCAGTCAACTAAAAATAGAAACAAAAAAAAATTAGCTGGGCATGGTGGCTCACACCTGTAGTCCCAGCTACTCGGGAGTCTGAGGCAGGAGGATCACTTGAGCCCAGGAGTTTGAGGTCTCTGTGAGCTAGGCTGATGCCATGGCACTCACTCTAGCCTGGGCAACAAAGTGAGACTCTGTCTTAAAAAAAAAAGAATTCTAGGACGGTAATACTACCTTCTAGTCACATCTCAGAAAGAACAACTAGGCTATTACCACCTACTTTTAAAAGGCTTGGACATAGTTGTTTAAGTCCTGATTGAAATGAACAAAGGTATGATATGATTAGGGGGAAAATCTGTATCCTTGCTGGAAACCAGGGCAGTGAATATAAGCAAAGTGCGGCATTCACTGGGAGGGAAGAAAGAAAATGGTGGAAAAGTGTGGTCAAACACACAAATAGCACTAACCCAGAGTAAACATTGCTAGAAGAAAGGGAAGGCCATGGAGCAGTTGTGTTAGAGAATAAATCTTGATGTTAAATCTCTATCAGTTTGCTAGGGCTGCCATAACAAAGTACCTCAAAATGGCGGTCTTAAAACAAAAGAAATTTATTATCTCAAAATTCTGGAAACTAGAAATCCAAAATCAAGGTGTTAGCAGGACCATGCTTTCTCCAAAGCTCCTAATGGAGAATCCTTCCTTACCTCTTTCAGCTGTGGTAGCCCCAGGCCTTCCTTGGCATGTGGCACATAACTCTAATTTCTGTCTCTGTTGTCACCTGGCCATCTTCCCTCCGTGTCTGCATCTTCACATGGTGTTCTCCTCTCTGTGCTTATCTAGGTCCAAAGTTTTCTCTTTTTATAAGGACACTAGTCATATTGGATTTGGGCCCATCCTAATGACCTCACCTTAATTGATCACATCTGCAATGACTCTATTTCCAAATAAGATCACATTCACAGAGACTGGGGGTTAGGATTTCAACATACACTTTTGGGGAAGCAGTTCAATCCATAACAGAGCCCTCTTTGAAAATGTCAAGCATTTGACATTCCATATTGATCAGTCAATAAGGAAACAACAGTCTTGAGCAATACTCTATACCAAATGTATATAGAACATTCCACCCAATAGCAGCAGAATACACATGCTTTTTAAGTTCACATGGAATGTTCTCCAGAATAGATCATACGTTAGGCCACAAATTCTTCTTAACGGATCAAGAAAATTAAAATCTGATATCAAGCAGCTTTTCCAACCACAATGGTATGAAACTAGAAATCAATAACAGGAGGAAAATTAGAAAATTCACAACATTGTGGAAATTAAACAACACACTCCTGAACAACCAATGGGTCAAAGAAGAAACCAAGAGAGAAGTCCAAAATATTTTGAGACAAATGAAAATAGAAATACGACATACCAAAGCTTATGAAATGTTGCGAACGTAGTTCTAAGAGGAAAGTTTATAGCAATGAACACCTACATTAAGAAAGAAGAAAGTTCTCAAGAAACAACATAACTTTACACCTCAAGAAACTAGAAAAAGAAGAACAGACTCAGCTCAAAGTCAACAGAAGGAAGGAAATAATAAGTAATAGAGCATAAATAAATGAAATAGAGACTAGAAAAACAATAGAAAAGATCGATGAAACTAAAAGATGTTTTTTAGAAAAGATACACAAAATTGACAAACTGTTAGCTAAACTAAGCAAAAAGAGAGAAGACTCAAATAAATAAAATTATAAATGAAAGAGGAGACATTATAACTGATACTACAGAAATACAAAGGCTTGTAAGAGACTACTATGAACACTTATACACCAACAAATTGGATAACCTAGAAGAAATGGATAAATTCTTAGAAACACATAATTTTCCAAGACTTAATCATGAAGAAATAGAAAATTTGAACAGACCAATAATTAATTAGAAGATTGAATCAGCAATCAAAGAAATGTATACGTGTGAAAAGTGCCCTGCACTCAGGAAGCTTACGATATCTTTTTGAAAAATGAAGCTTGTAGGAAATAACTATGATTGACCTTAGATTTATATTAAAGTGTGTCATAAGGTAATAAAGAAGATAAATAAGAATAAATAAAGAAGATAAATCCCATCCTGTTGAGAAGGCAGGAAGAAGAAAGTAAAGAATTCCCAAGAAGAATGGGAAATTTTGGAAAGTGACATATAGTGCTTTGACAAGTGGAAAATGTCCTTCTGAATTCTCCGGGGTTGTAATCTCTGGGAAGTGGCAATTCGAGCAGGTGGATGACCTGCGTGTTTAGGATATAACATTCCTCGTTTTATGCCTCTAGATTCCATCTCGTCGGTTCCTCCTCCGCTGCATGCGTCATCTCAGGCAACACCGTCACTTGGGATAATGAAACACCTACTTGTCAGAGTGAGTTGGAATATTCCTTTCTATCACTTTTACCAATAAATTCTAATCTTCTCTGGAATTATAAAAATTTTAATCAAGTTCCTTTTATGCAGTCTGTCCTTCTGACAGCTGAAGACAGCTGTAATGTTTTCAAAATTCCTATGAGGACGGCCGGGTGCAGTTGGTCATGCCTGTAATCCTAGCACTCTGGGAGGCTGAGGTGGGAGGATCGCTTGAGGTCAGGAGTTCAAGACCAGCCTGAGCAAGAGCGAGATCCCATCTCTACTAAAAATAGAAAAAATTAGCCAGACGTGGTGGCTCGTGCCTCTAGTCCCAGTTGCTTGGGAGGCTGAGGCAGGAGGATCGCTTGAGCCCAGGAGTTTGAGGTTGCTGTGAGCTGTGGTGACACCACTGCACTCCAGCCTGGGCAACACAGAGAGACTCTGTCTCTAAAAGAAAAAAGAAAGAGAGAAAGAAAATGGAAAAGAGTAGAGGAAATCTCTATAACTCTACAACGATGATTAAAATGAAAGGAATGTGTATTTTATTAATAAGTGCATGTGTTTAGAGGAAATAATATAAGTAGGAAAGGCAGAACACATACTATTATGTCCACCTAAGTTACAACTTTGTGAAAACTTACCTACATAGCAAAGATTAAAAGCAAACACTGAGCAGGGCATATTGGCACCCAGGAGCTTGAGACAAGCCCGGGCAACATAGCAAGACCCCGTCTGAAAAAAGAAAGAAAGAAAAGAAAATAATGAATGTAAAAATAGTTACAGTTTAGTGACTTGTTAGATTTTTCTCCTTTAGTATTTAAATTCGCTATCATTTACTTCGTTTTCCATTTTCACAGAAATTCCCTGTGAGCCGCCCCCAGCCATCGCCAATGGAGAGTTGATCACATATGGAGAATATTTTGAGTACGGAGTGGTGGTGACCTATCGCTGCAAACGTGGGAAGCGAGGGGAAGAGGTGTTCGACCTTGTGGGTGAGGCCTCCATATACTGCACCAGCGAGGACGATCAAGTCGGCGTCTGGAGCGGCCCTCCCCCTCAGTGCATCGTACCTAATAAATGCACGCCGCCAGACGTGGAAAATGGAATAATGGTATCTGACAACAGAAGCTTGTTTTCCTTAAATGAAGTTGTGGAGTTGAGGTGTCAGCCCGGCTTTGTCATGAAAGGACCCGCCAGAGTGCAGTGCCAGGCCCTGAACAAATGGGAGCCAGAGCTGCCCCGCTGCTCCAGGGGTGAGTCCGCCTGAGGCCGGGCAGGGTCTACAGGCTGCGTGAGTTGTTGGAGGGTCGGGAGGTCAGTGTTTGTTCCGAGGGAGGGATGCGTGGTGAGCAGGGCGGGGGAGTAAATCTTGGGGGAAACGGGAAATTAAGAATGTATGTGTGTTTACACATGTGTGTACACGCGCATGTGCTCGAATTGAGAAACAAAGCTAAATCTTGGCCAGGAATGTGATGTTTCTTTGGAATTCTCATAAACAGGTCTATCCATTGCTCTTGGGCATAATAATTGCTAATATGTAATGAGTGATTCCTCTAGTCAGGCACCATATTACAGGCTATGTGTGCATTTAAGTCTTAAAGCTATGAGGTAGTTACTATTCTTTCCATGTTTTGCAGAGAAAATGTGTCTTAGAGAGAGGTTAGATAACTTTCCCACATGAAACAGACACTAACCTGCAGACCAAAGACTGGAAGCTGAGTCTGCCTGACTCCAGAGCCTTGTCTCTGCCAGTCAGCATTGAGTGAGGAAACCAAAATCCAGTCTAGGGGTTCATACCTGTAATCCCAACACCTTGGGAGGCAGAATCAGTAGGGTCATTTGAGGCCAGGAGTTTAAGGCCAGGCTGGGCAACATAGTGAGACCCCATCTCTACAAAAATGAAAAAAATAAGCCAGGCATGGGGGCACGCATGCGTAGTCCCAGCTATTTGGGAAGCTGAGGAGGGAGGATCATTTGAACCCAGAAGTTCAAGGCTGCAGTGAGCTATGATTGCACCTTTACACTCAAGCCTGGGTGACAAAGTGAGACCCCATCTAAACAAAAAAGAATCCCTCAAATCAGCCTGGATCATTCAAGGAGTGAGGGATTTCATCGGGGGAAGCTGCTGTTTCTCCTGGGCTAGAGTGTGGTGGACTTCCCTCATGCTGAAATGGCCACCCCTGCCGCTGAGCAAGCACCTCCTTGAACCCTGTTAATGCTGCAAAAGCCACCACTACTGCCAGAATGTAGCTGATCCTGCTGAAGCCAACCTCATTGGCATGGCTGGATTTGAAGTTGCTGCTCTGCTGAGAGCCATCAGTGCTGCCACGGCTTGAGCCTCTTCTAGAAGGAGAACGGCTTCTGGCAACATCCCGCCTTTCCATGTGGCATACACGCCTCCAGTTGGCGGGACCTAGCCAGAGCCCAGCTGTCAAGGAAGATAAGAGACCATAGTTTTCAGGCCTCCATCCCCAGCAGTCAAAGGGGAATGCAGGAGCGTGAGGCTGGGGTCCACAGACTGAACCAGCACCGCACCTCACTGTCGCATCATGGCGCATTGATTAGTCAAGAAACACACTGGAGTGAACAGCCCTGAAAATAGATATTATAGCCTCAGAGTATTTACAAACTCCTTAAGGAAGTCACTTATTCTAGTCTAAACCTCATTTTATACTTGAGAAAACTGAAGTCCAGAAAGGAGAACTGGTCTGCTCAAAGCAATACTGAAATTAATTTTTTCCATTTTTACAACAGTTTTATATAATGTAGTCGAGGCCCAAACGTGTTCTGATTCCCTGAGTCCAGACCAATCGTCTAGCTAGCCAGAGACTCCATTACAACATACCATAAGCAAAATGCTCCGTCACTATGACGACGGCAGGGTTTTTAAAAGATTTTGTTCGATGGTTGGCTCTCGTCTCATTGGAGCGACGTGACTGGCTAAGCAGCGCCGGGCTATATGAAGCGTAGAGAGGAGACTCCTGGTTCTCCACCAGCCTGTGCCAGGTGGCCGCCAAGAGGACTTGAAAGGAGCTGAGAGTACAGGCACGGACCGGTTTGGTGCACCGGCGGGTGGTAGGTGACCGAGGGATCCGTTACGGGGGACTTGGGCCTGGCTTTCCTTGCTGCCCAAAATGTGAAACTGTAAATTGGCAGTGCCTTTCTCGAAAGGAAGTATGAAGACATAAAAATCCATCAGTCCTAACAATTTTGTGCTGGGTGAACAGTGACTGAAATCATTCTATAGAATGTGTGTCAGGGTGTGATCTTCGGTGCAATACTTTATTTGAAAAACAACAGATTGAGGATGCCCCAGTTCTAATCACAGCTCTGTGCTATTTCAGTTCTATTCCCCTGCACCCCATGTGTTTATTTTGTCATCAACAAAATAAGAGGGTTAGCCTGCCTTTTTAAAAATATAGAGACAGACTTAGGATTTCCTGGCCAGTTTACCTTTGAAGATAAGTTATTTTCACACAACTAACAGTACTTTGGTCCTCTTTCCCCAGTATGTCAGCCGCCTCCAGAAATCCCACATGGTGAGCATACACCAAGTGACCGGGACAACTTTTCGCCTGGACAGGAGGTGTTCTACAGCTGTGAACCCGGCTATGACCTCACGGGGGCTGCCTCTCTGCGCTGTACACCCCAGGGAGACTGGAGCCCGGGAGCCCCCACATGTGTAGGTACGTAGACTCTCGTTGGGTTTCCAGACCACTCTCTTTCCCCCTCAGGTGGGAGTCTTATTCCTGTTTGGTTTTGTTTTTTTCCTCCTAGTGAAATCCTGTGATGACTTCCTGGACCAACTCCCCAATGGCCGTGTGCTAGTTCCTCTTAATCTCCAGCTTGGGGCGAAGGTGTCCTTTGTTTGTGATGAAGGGTGAGTGTGAGCTTGCCTGACCTGCTGGGCATTGACATTGGGGTTTGGAATTAGTCCAAAAAAGGGAGGTTTCGTGTGGCTTAAATATACACACCCACATATATATATATATTCACAGAGATTAACTTTTCAAAGTGTACATAGGAAGTAAGAGAAGGAACATGTAGAACTACTAACATGAGATATGAAGAAGAAACTGAGACATACATTAAATGGCAAGTTCGAAGGCAAGTGTATATAGGCGACGCATTAAGTGAAAAAAAATTATATTTTCCAAGCAGAAAGGAATATACGAGTAATTTGGAGAGTCCCAGAAAAAAAATCTGATATGTCACGAAAAGCTTATTACAAATACCTAATTTCATTTAAGAAACATTTCACGGATTTTTTTTTTAAAACCATCAATAGTGAAATATACAATGAGAGTGCAAGTGTAAAAATAAACATTTTTTAAAATCCAGTCATTTATCATCTGGTAAGTAATGGGCTGTGGGCTCTGAAATGGGGTCATGACGGCCGATACTCCTACTGCGGGGAAGGCTATGAACTTGTTTATGAGGATCTAGTGCTCGTCACGGTGGTGCACATCTGTACGTGGGAGCTATCAGGCATGGGCAAAAAAAGTACATGCTCTGGAAATGTTCCAAAGAATCCCTGGTGGGCTCCCAATGCCAGCACCCAGTGAGATTTAGGAGGGCATCAGGGTTCACGTTAAGAATTTTGGATGATTTCATACAAAGCCTTCTCTGTTCTTTCCTTTTTCTCCTGGAATATTCAAACTTACTCTTTAATAGCCCAGCATGCCGTTGTGAACCCTCCTCACAGCCACCACAAATGTAGGGACAAAAGGACAATCTCTGTTCTCCTGCCAGTTACTCTCCGCGTTTCCAGTGCAAACCCGGAGCTGTTTTACTCGCCGTTCCGGCGTCAGAGTTAGAAGGGTGTGGTGGCAGAAGACTGGCTTTCCAGCAATGACGATGAGTAGATTTGTCAGGGTCATCAGTGAGACTCTGAGTCTGGGTCCAGGGTCAAGCTGATGGCGGCCACGCCATGACTGCCTTCTTCACTGCAAGCTAGGACTATCGTGTGACCAAGTTACCACGCTTTGCCATTCTATATTGCTCCCTTACTGGAGGCTGAGATTGTTCCAGAATGACGTGGCCTCTGCATCCCCGCCATCTGCTGGTTTCAGATGGTCAGAATCCTGAGATTTTTGGCTGAGGCCTCAGAGTGTGAATTCAGTGGCCTTTTGACTGAAACGACTCACCTATTCACTACCATTTTCTTCTTTAGGTTTCAATTAAAAGGCAGTTCCACTAGGCATTGTGTCTTGGTTGGAATGCAAAGCCTTTGGAACAGCAGCGTTCCTGTTTGTGAACGTGAGTAAAAGGAAACATTTCAGGCCAATCTTGCCCGTTAATCTGTTTACTATTTTGACCGATGGCTTCCCCTGGTGTGGTTCTTCTATTTTCTAGTCTGAATTATTGCTAAAAAATTGCTTATTTTAATAATATCTTGCTGTGAATCAATGTGTGCATCACATCTGATCAGTCTCTGTCATTTTGAATTCTCTGTTCTATTGTGATAAATCTTATGGTGGCTTGCCTCTAGATCCAGAGAGATTAGATAATGTGAAGCTTAGACAAATTTTCCTTCCTTCCTACCTTCCTTCCATCTGTCCTTCAGTCCTTCCTTCTCTCACTCCCCTGTTCCTTCCTTTCTTCCTTCTTCTTTTTAGTTTTGTTCCCTCATCAAGGTGCAGTCACTCTATAATGTTTGCATATATTTGTGAATACACGAGTATTAAATGTACATTTAGTCAATTCATTATTTATTGAGCACATACTATGTGCTGGAGTTATAGCAATGAACAAGATGAGCTAATTCCGTCTCTGTCCCCACATTGTTTATACTCAGATGGAGAGATGGACAAGAAAAAAAATAAACAAATTAAATGTTATGGAGATAATAGATCCCAGCAAAGAAGAATGAGGGAAAAGTAGGGCTTAACATTAGACGGGGTAGGTGGTTTGCCTCCTTAAACTCTCAAAACATGTACCTAAATAAATTATGTTGAGAGATTCATAAATAATGAATTGATTTAAAAAATGAGTCTCATGTTCAGAGTCACTGCTGATTTCTTCTAGTCTACCCATTTATGTTTTCCCCAATAGAAAGAAGATAAGACTTTGCTTCATTTCTTGATCCTAAAGATTGGAAAATATGAGTTTTTTTAACAATCGAATTTTACTAAAATATTTATCTTGCTAGAAATCTACTTGGACATCTTATGGTGCCTTTTATAGTAAAACTTTGTAAGAACACAAATTATATACATCAATAGATCCTTGCTGTCCAAGAACCCCAGTGCCCCTTGAAGTAACACAGAACATGGTGTCTACCATCCTGTATTATAGCTCAGCTACTGGCTGCACTGCGCCGGCTTTTTCTTATTGTTCACAACTCTTACTAGTTGAAGTAGCTTCTTCCAAATTCCAACCCTAATTAAAAATACCAATTTGAGGTAAGGAGTGGAGTAATCTAAACAAAATAAGCGGATGCTAGAAAAAATCAGCAATGTGAAGCCTGACAGAAAGTAAAGAGAGAGAACAAATCATAAGCGGGCCCAGAAATTTTAAAAAGCAAAGCAGTTTGAAATCATTTAGAGTTTTTTACAATGACCTGTGTATGTTTTAACTCACTGTGACCGTGCTAAGGTAATGATTAGATTAATGGTCGATATAAATAAGTAAGCAAGGAAAGGTTTCATCTATTTAAGGTGATTGGCACACGGGCATGCATTTTAGAAATAGTTCCTGGGAATGGACACTTCTTCGAGGACAAAGACCTTGTATGTGCCCCTCCGCACTCTGTCCCCAGGGCCCTGATGAGTGGCTGATCCAGAATAAATGCTGAATTAATCTGTAGTTACTAAATGAGTAAGTCACCCTCTAAAATGGCTGTTTTTCTTCTTTAAAAGTTGTGGTACTTAGTTAAAGGTGTAAAGTTTCTATTATCCAGAAAACTTAACTATCTGGAAGATACAGGGTAGGCAAAGTTCTTTTGCACTATTGCAAGAAACTTTGATGGAGATCTCATTTCATTTGGTCCATCTCTTCAAAAGCTTAATGTATTGTCATCTCCTTAGCTTT